ATGGTGGCTGGTGATGAAAAGTTTATTACAGCGGCGTCAAACAGAAACGGCCGTGGTAGGAGGGCTGTTAGTGGGCACAAACGGTCTACAAGCCAGGTCTGATGGCCAAGAAGATTTTGTTGTTGTTGTAACAGTCGTTGGCCGTATAAAAATACGGGTCGTTCCGATATAAAGACGCGTCTCTCGCAGGAACTAATATCGAATAATCGCTTTTTACGACAGGCATGCCTAACCGCGGGTAAATTTTTGGGCCTCTAACACGCGGGAGTGAGTAAGATTTTGTAGTGTATTTGATTGGCTTGCAAAGGATTCGCCTACCACCAAACTCTTAACGTATATGGTCAGCAATTGGGCCGTCTGAAGGCAGTAATTCCCCAGCAGCACCCAGCATTAGCTAATGGGGGGAAATGCGTTTCATCGGTATGACGACAGACCACACACATCGAGAGTTATTCGACAGAAACTCCGAGAGCTTGGTTGGGAGGTTCTTTTGCAACCATCTTATAGTCCGAGCCTCGCACCAGGTGATTACCATCTATTCCTGTCTATGGCGAAAATTCGATCTCTGAATATCGATTGTTCCAATTTTTTGCCCATAGTGGTAAGGGTTTCTTTAAGAGAGCCGTAATGACATTACTTTCGAAAATGGCAAAATTTTAATTATTTAATGCAAATATAATAGATTACTTCTTCTTGGACCAACATTTCTAACCGAAAATCTACATTCAGTCCTTGCTTTCCAGCCATATCTATCATGGGAAACCAGTTCGAACCTTAATCATATTTTTAGATGCGAACTTTCAAACATTTTTTGCGCCGAGTGTACATACATAAAAATGTATATGTGAATATCTGATTGCAATTCTAAGTATTCCTTCGTAGGCCGCTTAAAACATTAAATAAATTATATTTACATATTAATTGTTTATGCAGCGTTAAATAGTATTTGCAAACTATGCAATCTAGTATTAATAAATTATTGTAATTTTCACTCGATATAAAAAACATTATCATTATCATTAAAATTATTTTACCACATAATAATATATAATTTATTTACTTTATATGATATATGAATATTCATGAAGCTTTCCGCGCGCATGTACTACTATATAAATATGCATGTGTGTGGTCTACTTGCGCCGTGCGATAAAAGATGAATGCCATAAACTATGCGAATATATTTATTATATAGGTATTTAAATATGTATTTAATTATACACATATTTGCATATATATGCATATATATAAAAAATGCGTATGTATGTAGCCTTTTAAGTATGCATTTTTCACAGGTTGTTAAAGGTTAATCTCCATACATACATACGTGTACATAGAATAATTATAATTTAGACGGCTGTCAAATGAGAAACAGGAAAATAGTTTGGTTGTTAATAATGACAAATGCATTTAGGTGTAAGTTGATAGAAATGAATTAAAATTGTTTTTATTACAAAAACTAATAATCACAATACTTTGTTGAAATGTTCATAGCATTGATTAGAGAACTTTTACTATAATTGAATTAGACAGTTAGCTTAATTTATTGCTGTGGCACGTGCATTTCTAATGAACGGTTAATAAATATTTAAATTCACACATTATTTCTTCTTTTATAGTGTGTTGTATAACGGTTAATTGTTTAAATTTATAATTTTAATCATTTCTTTATAATTCTCTGGCAATTAGTTTTGTTTGAAATATTGTACAGCAAGTCTAACGAGTCGCTAAAGATTTTACTACAACGTTGTGTTATCGATAAAGTCATAACAGCACAGTAATCAATAATAAGTGAGGTTATGGTTCTGTTTTCATTAAAAATGTACAGGTAGTGTAGTGTATTAACGCATTTCCTCACACCCCGCAATTATGCGTATAAAAGAAAAATTACCAGAAATCATGCAACAATAATAAGAAAATACCACATTTTTCAACTAACCTATAAATTTCTATTACTTTCATTCAATAATTTGCTTTCCTTTTCTTTTCATATTACCTCATTACACGCTAAGCTAATATAGCTGAATGTAGGTAAACCGCCAAAACAAGTAAACTTGCTTATCAACTAAGTAATAAAAAAAGAGACACGAAGCCGCTACGTGTACAGTGGTCAATCTTTAGTAATTATTTCTTTTATTTTTTTTCCTCATACCAGGAATCATAGAACTTTTAGTTGAATTATTGACATGTTATTTGTTTGGAAACATATTTTTCCCCTTGATCTTTTCGCATTTTTTCAACAAATTTTTATATGTATAATATTGTAATGCGTCCCAAAAAATTTACTTCAATAAAAAATAATAAATAATGGCAAGAATATTTTATTTTAAGCAAATTTTTAAATTAATAACGCTAAGAAATGTAAAAAAATGAATTTATTAAATCACATTAATTATATATATGTATATTTTATTTCTAAGCTGATTTGCTGTATCTGTTGGTATATTATATTTTTTATTTTATTGTTTTTGCTAGAAATAACAACAGAAGTTCGGCTATAATCGCGTAAGCGGTGTTTACGCTAGTAAAGAAGAACTCTCAGAAGGAAAATAAACTTAGTTCAAAAAAGTAACTTAATATTCCTTACAAAAAGTTAACAAATTCAAACAATCACGCAAAAATATTTTAATTTAAGCCCACACCTTAAATAACGGTATAATGTTATTTTTAATCTTTTATTTACGAAAAAAAAAAACAAGAAATATATTGCAGTATAATATTAAATATTAGAAATTAACTAATATTGATAACAGTATTTTATGTCAAATTCATAGCAGAAATAACAGTAAATTTTTGATTTTTTTCTCCTTTTTTTTGAAATAATAACTCAAAATCTAAAAAAAATTGGTATTTACTATTGTACAAGAAAAAAAATATTTTATAAAATCATAAAATCCACAGAAAATTAAACAAATTTTGATTCATAATGCAATAAAAAGTGTTTTAATTATAATTAAAAATATTTTTTATAATTATAGCAAAATTATATTGTAGTTATTATTATTTTTTTTAATAATAATAACTCTCAAATAAAGATATTTTACAAGATTTCGTACAAAAAGTTAACTAATAGCGATAAAAAATTTTTTATTGCACACACATAACTCAAATAGCAATAATTGCATTTCTCATTTTAATTGTTTTTATCAATATTTATCTTCTTTTATTGATAACTCTCAAATAAAATTTATATTGTAGTGCAGTGAATAAGCTAAGATAGGGATATCTTTAATTTATGTGTATAAAAAATCACAACGATGTACAATAAACCAAGGTTATATATTATATTTGCATTAGTGATATAATTGTTTTTTAACGTTGTCAGTAGTTGACAGCGATGAGTTAATAAATTTATTATTTGATTTTGAATTTTTTAATGTTTATAATACAGTGGATTGACCTGTCTGACACCTTAGGGTAGTTTCACATAGCCGATGCAAAGTGGTAAATAGAAGGCAAGAAATAATTGAAAAACCAGTATTCGTAAGAGGTTTGAAAAGCCGGATGTACATTTTTTTGTTTCAAATTTTACATAAAATAAGTTTGTTCTGTTAGCCGCTTCAACTTTCCTTACTCAGCGATACAAGAATCAGCGATACAAGAATTTCTCTGTCACCACACAGGTAAATACCTAACCAGGTTGAGATCGAGACCAAATACAGAAAGTTTATCACGCTTGTAAGAGAACACTTAACAGGAACTGGGGCCTTAAACTGAAAATGGTCATGCAGATGTATACGATTGTCATTAAACCAATCCTTACACATCCGAATGGCTTTTGGTCAGGCCTAAATGTAAACCTAACCTAAACTTATTTATTATATTGAGCTCAATAATTTTTTCGGAAATTTTCGTGCTGACCGAGCATTTGGGCAACGAGTACTCGCACACTCGTCGTTCATTGCTTATTGCTAGAAAGTTTTCGAGCGTTTTGAATAAATAATTTGACTTTTCACTGGAACTTTCTGCTATAATTTTAATTTTATCTATGCCAAGGCGAATTTACAGAAGATGAAGTTGTCACATCATATTATGGCTTGTTCTTTCTTCCATTTCAAAAAATTACACAAACAAAATACATGAGAAATAGGTTTTGGAATTTCAAACGTTCGTTTACACAAACATTGAACGATTTTCGTTTTTGACTTTTTGAAACTATGATTACACAAACAAAATACATAGTTTTTTTTGTTTTTGTATTCTTGCTACGTGTGCATTTGCCTTGATCTATGCAAAGTGTACAACTCATTGAAATACTAAAGAAATTTTGACAAACAAAATTGAAATTTGAAAAATTTTCAACTCTCATTTGTGCAGTTAAGCAACGAACGAGTACCGAGGGAGTATCGAGCTGCTCACAGCGCACGATACCCGGGTGTCTAGAGCTATAATATATATTTATATTTTATTTATTTTTTTTAATAATAAATTTAAAAAATTCAGTTCATCAATAGCAGTTAACATTAAAAAATCAATTAAAAAAAATTAATTTTAAACACATACCTCGAATATTAAAATTAGCGTTGTGTGACAATTTTAAATTACTAATTATTTTTAGACCACCCACAAGTCACTCAACCGACTACGTGATGTGCATACATTTCAAAAAAAAAATAAAAAAAAAACAATTAATTGTCACAGCAAAATAATGCTGTTAAACTGTAAATAATTTGTTCAGAAATATTTGTTTAAAATATTAAAATATTTATATGTAAATTGATTATTTTTTTTTTGTTTGAAAATATTTTCTATTATATAGTTTCTTATATGAAATTGAATATTATTAATTTAATGCCATTACTTTTTTTCAATGAAATACACACAGTACAGGAGGTATTGATTTTACATAAACAATTCCTAATTTTATCACCCTCTCAACTTGTGTCGCAACGCTATTTACTCTTTCCTGCTCCATCCACTACATAACTTAAATGCATGCATACATACATATAGATGTACGAGTACATATTTTTTACCATTAAACGCATACGAATACTCACTATAGTGTTTGCGCTCCTTAACGGTATAGTAGACATCTTGAAATTCGACATCTTTCGATGGCTTGAGACAGGCGGTGTTTTCCATCGTTGCAATGTTGATGATTTCTTTTGTTTGTTTAGGTATTATTTATGTTTATTTGAAGAGTATTGTTGTTGTTCTTATTGTTGTAATATGATTGGAATGTTATTTTTCCAGCGCTGCATACAATTTTTCGCTTTGTTTTGTTGTTTTGTGTGCTTAGCTTAAAAATTTTTTATAGCTCAATTTACCATTTCGGTGGAACGTGTTGTGCTTTCAAAACGTTGCATTAGACATATGTATGTATGTAATTATGTAGAGTGGTGTGTAGTTTAAGCTGTAAAGAAGTGGAAAAAAATGAGAAAATATGTAATTTAATTCTTATTATTATTTATCGTCAATGTTAATAGACAACATTGGTATTGTATTTGCCTTCAGAATTGTATTGAAAGAAAAATGTTATATTTATATACGTACATATATGTATAAATATGTTTTAAATACATTATTATTATTACGGTTATACATATACATATTATACATATATGTATAAACTTGATGCTTTATTAAAATTTATATACGCTTATTACAGTCAGGGTTAAAATTTTTTTCGTTGAAGGATTTACTGCGGTCAATATTGTGCAATAAATGCATTTTAATTAAAGACTCTCTTAATCTTTTCAACTTTCCAATTGTTACCACAAAGCGTAATCTTAGCTTCACGCTCGTTTAAAATTAAGTTTAATAAGAAAATACAGTTAAAACTGCAATTACGGCGTGAAAAATCTAGTATCAACTTTGTGAGGTTTTAAACTACTGTAGTTCAGGGTGTTTTTTTAGGACGAGCGGTTTTCAATGCGACAATACTTCGTTCGAATCTGGTCTTTTTGACAGCGGTTACTTGATTTATACTGAGCTTGGTTTACCATTTCGTTAATCAAATCAATCAATGATTTTTAAATCGTACAAATTTATTATCAAATAATTGGCGCACCGCGCTGCAATCAACATTCGAGCGACATAGTCTCCCAGCAGAATGGATAATTCCGCCTCACATGGTTCGGTTGCGCACCACGTTTACTCTAGTGGATTATGCGCATCCTCAGAAACGCTGTGCGATGTGAACCGATTGCGTCCAGCTGACTCGAAAGTAATTTAGTAAGCGAAAATCGGCGAAAAGTAACTGAAATTAGTGCCATTCTCAGCAACAAACTGCAGCAAAAATTCTTATAGCTACTGCACATAGGTCCATCGTTGCTTTCAGACTGACAGGAGCTTGGTTCCTTGATTAAGTCGCGCCTGATACTTTTTGATATACTTGAGATTACATTCTCAGCTGCATGGGTTACTATATCTTCGAGCTGACGCCTAGTTGGCACTTCTTCACCATAATCACTTCAAGGGATAACTATAAAAGACAAAGATACTGTTGGAAAGTAGTACTGAATTTCTTTAAAGATGAAAAGTCGAAAGATTTGCGTTGAAGTCTTCTATCAAGTGTATACTAGTGCGATACTGGGTAACTCCTCTCCAACTCTGGATAAAAACTCTCCTACGCAATGAGAGCTGTGATTAGGAATTTACGCGCTAAGCTTTGGTATTTGCTTTAACCTCTGATTTAAACATCTGGAAAGGATGACGTAATCATCTATAAACTTCATTTGAAACTGTGTTGCGCTTGGGGATACTGAAATTTCTCAGATTACATACGAACTTTCGAGTAAGAACTTTGCATGTGCGTAGCAATATTAATTACGAATTCCCTTAAGCAATTTTGTAAAATATCTGAGCATAGAGTTTTAGCCTCAAAAAAAAATACTTATAATAGCGCTAAAATTTAAAAAATCATCAAATGTGTATAAAAGCAATTAAATTCTGATGGAATAGCCAATCGCAAACGTGTTGTTTGTTTGAAAGGAAAAATGAAATAAAATTAAATAAGAAGTCCAAATTTCACCTTGAACTCGAATTACTAAGCCCTACTTACATGCATACATACGTGAACATACACCTGATGAATCGGCAATTATTCGAAACATTTGACATACATACGTATATATACATATAATTTCAGGTATTTTATATTGTTTCACATAATGTTTCTACCTTTGCGACTGACTGACAGTCTATGAAGCCGCAAACGTAATTGTGAAACGCAAATTCTTAAGACTTTTTTATTTTTTATTTTCATTTTTACCTTTATGTATCATTAGTTCGAAACCAATTGCAAGATAAACTGAAAAAGGAATGATAAATATCATACTTTTACATATTTATATACGAGTATATGTAGCGTATAACGACTTATGTATATACATACACGTATGTGCTTCCATGCAATGTGACTAAGTTCTTTGTTCTAAGAATAACCGCATTGGTTAAATGGACACAAAATCGCTACAAAAGGGCTAAAAACAACAACAGCAGCAGAAAACAGAACAGCAGTAAAAGCTGTATGGTAGACATGTGCAAAGCAAGGGCTCTAAAGTAGAAATAGTGTACAGTTTTTGAATAAACAAGATAACAAGATACTAAGATTACCTGCAGATAAAAAGGAATTTGTGAACGAGAATATAAAAAAAAAACAATTAATTCCAATTAAAAAACTTTATAGGTGCGCTAAAAAAACAAAAAAAAAAACAAGAAAGTTGGGCTGTCTTCGGCCATGTCTTTACATTATATATACCTTTGTCTTTATATATACCTTTAAATTGATTGCAAAAATGTCATGATCTCAGACGTCTTTTTGAGCGATTTTTTACTAAAAAACCCTATAGCTTTAAAAATCAATTGTATGGGAGCATTTTGATATAACACTCCGATTTCGATAATTTTTTGTGCAACTTAACGATAAATGTATCGTTAATCGAAGAAATTCTAGCGGCTCGGTTGAAAATTGTGAAATGTTATTTTTAATGCAGTTACCAAATGTTAAAGTTAAATCGTTAGCAGATGATGTTAAAAGTTAACATTGACTTGTGCTGTTAAATCATAGCGAGTAGCCATTTTAAAATTAATGTTAACGATGAGCTTATACAATTTCAACGTAAACGTTTTCTCTTCGTTTCGATGGAAAGGAAACGATTTAATTTCGTTGAGTAAATTTTTCTTGTTAGCGAAACGTAATGTTTTTATTGCATTTGTTGAGCATCTCTGGCATAGATGACTTTTTGATGGTTTTTTTTTATTGTACCAAAAACCTTACATAAAAAAAACGGTTTCGTGGAGACTATATATTATAGTTGAACGATTTCGATGATTTTCAGTCGTAATGTTTATTTGTATACCGGTAGAATATCGAATTTCACGTTCTTAGATGCTTTTCTGACGTATTTTTCAACCCGAAACATCATATCTGTAAAAGCGGCTTATGAGAGCTTGATGTTATAGTCGACCAAATTCGATTCAGTACCAGCATTACTTGATGAATTTATGAAACAAAATCTCAAATCTGATAAATCGATCGTTTATATGTATTTATAGGGGTTCGATCTGATCGTTTAAATGCAGGAGTGCATCTGTGTACCAAGTTTTATAGAAACCTCCAAAAAATTGGGAGAATTAGTTTGCGTAGTTTATAGACAGATAGACGTATGCACATGTCTAAATCAACTCAGTTAAAGAGTCTATATCTTCTCCTTCTAGTACTCACACACTTCGGGTAAATATATCATTTCATGTACATGAAAGGTATAAAAATAGCAACAAAATATGTAGAAAAACACGTCATTGGTACAAGTTCAAAATATGTGTATGAAGACGTGAATAAACATCGCATATTCCGTTACTACAACAATACATAAAATTTCTAGAAAAGTACGCCTGTTAGTTATGCAAACAAAAAATGAAACGCAGCAAAGTCTTACATCAAAACAATCCCACTGGATTATTCTGCATAATCTTAGTTTTAACTTATGTGCATAAATTATTGATTAGCATAGATATAGTAGAGATATCAACCGTATTCCGTACGGTCTTACGTAAATGTCAATGACTATTTTCAACACTAATTAAAAATCTTACATTATCTGTGTCGTAAATTCATCTATAAAACGATGACCAGTTATTCAAGAACTTGTTTCATGTCAAAAAAGGAAAAACTACGGAAAACAAGAAAATAACGTCAAAATAGTATGCATATGTAATAGGGAAAATTTTCGTTTATAAATGAAATAAAAATCATATACATATGTATGTATGTAATACATACATTATATTGTATATAAAACTATAAAAAATAGCAAACTTTCGACGCCAATCTCTTTCCATACTTCACATATTTTTGGCCAAAACTGACCACAGACTCTTTGGGTATAACACCGGGTATCGCTAGCCCAACTTAAAGCGAAGCAGCCAAGCCATAATTGGCAACCGGCTAAAAAAAATGTATAAACAAACTTACATATGCGCATATTTAATGAGGTGTCATTAATGACAGCTAGACATGAATCACACGTTTCTTTTGCGCTACTTCTTGACTGACTACTACTACTACTCAAGTAGAGTCGATGGAGATGAGAAGAAAAAAAATTATGATTTATTTGCGTAGAAGAATAACAAATTTATGTACATATGCAGATATGTGTGTGTGTGTTGTTTTTTATTACGTATGTATCTAGATGCCGGCTATACAAATGAATAGAAAGTAAAAGATTGTTTGGCTATTAAGACACACGCTACTGTCGTGCATAACATATTTGGATAGGAATGTTTATTTTTAATAAATTTATGAACATATTTACATATGTATGTGTAAAAGTAATGTATTATTTTAGCTTTAGCGCCAGCGGCTTTTATTTATTCATGCGTATTATATCATACATAAAATTTTTAAATTGTGCAGCTAGGGCTGTTAGTTGAACTCGCAGTATAATTTATAAGAATTTACCTTTTTTATTTTATTTTTAATAATTATATATTTTATTTTATGTATTTTGTTTTTTTAAGACTATTTTTGTTTGTTTGTTTCGTTTTATATGTTTCACGTTTTTTATTTATTTTATTATTTTTTTTGGTAGTTATTTTATATTGTTATTTTTGTTTATTTAATTTTATTTTACTTTTATTTAATTGACATTATATTACTTTTCTTATAATATAATTTTTTTCAATTTTATATTAAGTTATTTATTGTATTATTTATTGTATTTTATTTTAATTAATATTTTTTTGCTTCTTAATTTTGGTTTATTTGAAATGTGTTTTATTTGATGTAATCTTAGTTTATTAAACTTGAATTTATTGTAATTTATTTTGTTTCTGTTTGTATTACTTTATTTTACTGTACTTCATTTTGTTATACTTCATCTTATTTTACTTACTTTTATTTTATATAAATCAATTCATTTTACTTCTTATTTTTTTATTTACATATTAGTTTGTGTAAATTTATTTTATTTTTTTTTTTTTTCATTTGACTTATTTTATTTTTTGAAATTATTATTTTTTATTTTATTGAATTTTTTCTTATTTTAATTTATTTCTTTTATTTTAAGCTTTTTAATTTAATTAAATTTTTTTCATTATTATTTTTACTTTGCTTTTATTTAACCTTATTTTATTTTTTATTACTTTTTGTATTTTATTTCTTTTATTTTATCTTAATCTAATTAATTTATCTAAAATTATTTCATTTTATTTTGATTCATTTTTTTTTTGTCTTATTTTATTTTATTTTTTTTTATTTTATTTTATTTTATTCATTCTATACTAAGATATTTTATTTTATTTATTTTCTTTTATTTTATTTCATTTTATTTATTTATTTTATATTAAGTTATTTTGATTTATTTTATTTTTTTTTTAATTTATTTCATTTTATATTAATTTATTTTATTTTTTATTTATATATTTTATTTGATTTTATTGCTTTTTAATTAATTTTATTTATTTTATCTCCATTTTAATTTTTTTATATAGTTTTATGTTATTTTACTTTACTTTATTTACTTTTACATTATTTAATTTTGTCTATATTTATATATTTTATTTATGCAATTTTATTTAAATTTACTTTATATCCTTATACCAAAATTTAAATTATTTTGTTTTAAATTTTTGTATTTTATTGTGTTTTATATAATTTAATTTAATTTTTAGGTGCTTTTTCAGGTCATTATTCTGTTGAATTGTTTTTTGGTTTTTTATGGAACTGTTTCAGAACACATATTTTTTGGAAATAGTGAAAAAGTTACAACAATAGTTTTGGACGGTAGAAGTTATAGCTAATATTTCGGAAACCATCAACAGACTTCTTTTTCCAGACACCTTTCTTCGAATTGATTGCATTCAAACTTGGATTGCCCACAGCACGAGCCAATGGTTATCCCAATAAGCTACATATGTGCCGCTTATACTTATTGTTGTTTTTCAGTTTTATTTTAATTTAATTTTATATTCTATTTTTATTATTCAACCTTTTCTGTTTTTTATTTATTTAATTTTGTTAAATTTAATTTCATTTTTTATTTTTTTAATATAATATTTATTTTTATATTTCATGTTTCTTAATATTTTTTCGATATTTTTTGTTCATTTTAAAAAACTACTGATTTAATTTGTCTTATTTTGTTTTGTTCTATTTCATCTGTCAATAAACTTATACACGCTTAAACCCGTTTAAGATTTCTAACGTCACGGAAAATGCCAGCCAAAATTCTCACAAATAAGTGTCCAACTTGATTTCATAGTGATAAGTGGTAGTTCAAATATTTGCTGTATGCTTGTTATGAAGCATAAATAATTTAACGTAAGAATATTTCTCATATTCATCAATATCAAAAGATAAAAACAAAAACACTTAATTTTTGTAAGCAAAGTGAGTGACTTCATGAAATCTACGAGACTGAATAGAGCAGAGGAAATTAACTGAATTTTCGAAAAATTAACATATTATTAAATCTTTTAACTTACGATCATATTTGTATTTGAATATTATTTTTTTTTTCAAATAAAACTTTTGCTAGAAGTTTCTGCAAATTATTTTGTTATTGTAGAATATTAGCGGAAAAGACCAAACTCGCCGTGTCATGCAAATTAAAAAAAAATTTCAACTTATGCTCAATACAAATACATATAAGTGGATGTACATACATATGTAGGTATAGAATTGACTAAAGTATACCAGTTAATTGAGAGAGATTTGTGAAATAGCTGCTGGGGGAAGGCTGTAAGCATGATTAAGCAAAATTAATGAGCAGGAAAAGAATAAACAATACATACATAAAGTTGTTTGATAATAATTAGATACATACATAAGTACATATAGAAATGATGTAACTTTTGATTAAGGAAAAGTGATATTTGCAACAATCAATTATTTTCCTTTATTAGCAATTGTGTTAGTAAATTTCCAACTGAGATATTGGCTACGCTTTACACTTGTTTATGTACTCTCTCTCTCACTGTATGTTGGTATGTACGCGTATGTACTCGTAGGTGTTTTTATTTATAAACTTAATTGTTGCACGACAAGTTGAGCGTTACAAAGTCAATAGCCAGGCTTTAACCTGGACATTAAACAAAAATGTCTGTACTTAAAACCAAAAAACGACACAAACAAGTAGATAGAAATGTATATATGTATGTATATGTGTACATATGAATGTAAGTATTCGCGCGCAGCTACAAAAGCTAACATTATCATTCATTGTTTATCTCCGTAATGAACTTAAACTAATTATTGGGAATTACAGCACCCGCAATTAAAGACAGTGTAATCGATAGTACAAACATTTACACACACATACATGTACATATTTAAAAGTGAACTCAAAATTAAAAAAGAAAACAAACCCCCAGAATTTATTACGCTTTTTATGCAATTGTAAATCGCGATTTAGGAAATTAACGTGTGAATGTTAAATATAAGCTTAACGTGTATTTTATTTGCATGTATGTATGTAAGTGTTTAAGTATAACAGTTTTCCGGGGGGGGGAAAGAAGCAGCACTTAAAGTTGACTGCACTTAAAATGCGCACAATTGTTGGAAAATAATATTTTTTATTACTTCAAAATAAGCTTATACAGCATTTACTGCTTATAATGGTTCAGCTTTCAGTTGAATATGCTGATGAGCGTAATAAATAAGAGTGCCCTAGAAAATGGGAAACGAACCGGCGTTACTTACTACCATTCGTAAATAAAGTTTTTGAGCATAAACATATTTTTAAAATAGATAATTCTGTTAAACAGGGTTTAGCTATTTATTTTATTTTATTTTATTTTATTTTATTTTATTTTATTTTATTTTATTTTATTTTATTTTATTTTATTTTATTTTATTTTATTTTATTTTATTTTATTTTATTTTATTTTATTTTATTTTATTTTATTTTATTTTATTTTATTTTGTTTTATTTTATTTCATATTGTCTAATTTTATAACATTATCAGGCATTTAAGTAAATTTTTAATTTTTACGTTGTTTATTTAATAAATTTATGAGTCCTAAAAAAATAATAATAAAAACTGTCATAATACGAGTTACGCCATTATGTGCTGCGGCCAATAATCTGAACTCAAAACCAATTACATAAAAATCAAATAAAATAAAATTCATATTAATTTAAAAAATTAAGTTAAAACAATTCAACTGGAATACAAATATGTCTAAATACATATAATTTTTTTGGCAATATGTACTTACATTACAAAGCAGCATTCAGAATTCTGGTTTTACTTTCTTTTGCAAGATAAGATTTGAATATTTTATACAGCTTCCCACACGCACATACAATCTTAGCCGGTTTTAAATTTCAGCACTTATTTATTGTCGATTTCATATATTTATACAATTGCACTTTTTTTGTAAATAAATTTTATTTTTTATTCTGTGTTTTTTTTTTATCTTTTACTCGTGATTTTATCGGTACATTGCACGCTTATACAAATTATTATGGTTTTTTATTTCTTTTTATGCAAAAACAATTTAGAAAAATATACTAAACTGTTTGTTGGTATTGTGCTTAAAAGGCTTTGAACTTTGTTTTTGTTTAGAAAAAGTGAAAAATAAACAAAGCACAAATGTTTTAAGTAAAATTTGCCTTTCGCGGTCAATTTCTGTCTCTACAAATGTCTAATGTGAATTTTTCTTATATAAAATGCTTATGCATTCAATCACACCCTTTGCATAATAATTAGGTTTAAGGCTTGGTTGTCGATATTTTAACATATTTTGTGTACTTGTTAATTATTGTAAATTTCACGGTCTAATTAGTTGAATGTGATTTGTGTGGTTTAGTTTTTTCATTAATAATTAAATTACCACGAGTATTTATGTTTTTTCTTTATTTTTTAATTTCACAATTTTTTAGTATATACTGTGCATTGGTTTAAGCTGTATTTTATTTTTAATTATATTAATCGGCTTGCAGTTTCAAAATTAATTTCTTAATTTTTTATTTGTTTTCAATTTGTCAGTTTTTAACTAAAATATATACAAAAAATATTTGTCCGCTGTTTCACTTTAATTACTGTTTTGTTTTGTATTATTCCATAAGCATATAATTTTTCCATTTGTTTGTCACATAGCATTTGAAAAACAATCCATTGAAACCTTGTCTGCACTTTGCTACATAAAAATTTCTAATGAAATTCTAACGAATTTTAATTGTTCGAATGAAATTTGGAAATTTAAAAAATACCAACAATGTCTTTCACAAATGGTACGTTTGTTCTTTTTATTATTTATTATTATTTTCTTTACTCTTCGTGGCTCCAGCAATAATAATAAACAGAAAAAAAAAACAAAAAAGTCTTCGTCGCAGTTTAATTTAATTCTGCATATATTTTAAATTCAATTTCAAAGCTTGCGCGTTTAACGTCCGCTTCACTGTGAAGCACAAATGCGAATAAATTCAAACGAAGTTGGAGCTCGCCTCCAAAAGTCGTTGCGGCAGACCGCATCAATAGTCGAGGTACACTCGTAACACATACTGTAACGCCGAACGGATGAATGTTGTTGTGTTGCTGTTTGGTTTTCTGCTATTGTGGCTGTTGCGTACAGAAACAGTGGTTACTCTTGCTCTGGGTTTGGCATTTGCCAGCAACAATAAACACATGCACACACACTATGTTTGTGTCGGCAACAGTTGTTCTGTTTTCATTTGTTATTCTTTTTATTGTAGTTTTTTGTTGTTGTCATCAGCAAAAGCGAATATGCAAAGCAAAATAAACATGAAAAAATAATAATTGAATGTGTTTTGCATGTGTTGTATGCATATGTATGCGGATGTGTAGGTGCATGTTTGTATATCAAATAAATAAATACGCGAAAATTGGGCATTCGCGCGGGCACAGTAAGTGAATAAAATCGCAAAAAAAAAACACGTAAAAGAACAAAAACCAACAATGGCAAGAGCGTCATTAAGTAGGAAGAAAATAATTTAAGCAAAAAAAGGTGGAAGAGTGTAGTAAAAATTTCCTTAATTGCCGGCAAACGGTAAATAATGAATTGTTTTAATTTAAATTTTACTCTGAGGTGTGACACATAATGAATAAAAATCGGTTTTCTTCAAAGCCATTCATAAATATGATAATATTTTTTATAACAAATAATAATAATCTTATTTATATTTAATTATACAGCTTGTTGATTGAAAAACCTACCGGCTATATATTTCATATACATATATATAATAATTGAGCACTTTATGTTGTTTCTTCGAATGAAGATCACTTCCAACCAAAAGCCGGTTTGACAATGCCTCAATAGCAAAATAAACATTAAGAAGAAATATTCTTTCACCGGGGCGCGACCAGAAACGTTGGATCGAGCAAGTTGAGTTTCAGAGCAATTCTCCATTCCCTCTTAGACCACTGGTGTAAGCGGTGCCTACTTCTGCTTACACCGGCGGGTATTGCACCGAATGACGGCAAAGCTGGATTGCATTAATTTATTCCGCCACTGAAAAGTTGTAAGTTACTCTAAGGATCCCGATTTCACACAGGTGCTTGATGTCCATGTGATTATTAATGCTCTCAATACCGTCATCCAAGAAGTGCGGTGGACGAATCAAAGACGAAGGATTATAAGTCCACAATCCAAGTCAAAAAAAAAAGATTCTTCGAAGATAGATTTTAAAATCGCCTAGAACAATGCTAAGTGTGCTGCCCTCCTGACATCAGCGTTCTAGATATAGGTACGGCCCGATAATAAAACATTAACTCGGACTATGCCGGGAAGGAACAGATAGCTAACCGGATTTTCATTCGTTTTGTCAACAAGATAAACCATTGATTTTGGAAAGAAGTACACATAGGATGAGGTAGATTGCACTGCAGTACCTAAGGCAACCGCAATGCGAACTGTTTCTAAAACCGTAACGAAAATTGAAGAGCTATGTATGACGCAGATAGATGCAGATAGAAAAAGTAGGAGGAAAAATATGAGATAACGCGACAACTTATAGGTGTCTTCAAGAACAGAGCGTACTCTAATTCCCTTAAAGACTAATAAAACGGCTGGAGCCGATAGACTACAGGGAAAGCTATTCATACATTGTGGTAAACAGCACCCCTCAAATCAAAATTTCTTATCTAACGCATTGTCAAAGGAATGAATTGGCTTTATTAGTGCGGCATAAGGTTTGAGAAGCCAGCTTGGAACAGAGATTAAACACGCTCCAAATTTCGGAAATGAACTAAGAGAAAAGAATCGACACTCACAACTTCTTGATGGATTTTAAAGTCTGACTCGACGTCGCATGTCTGAATTTGGTATCCCCGTAAAACGTATAATGCTGCATAAACTGATGCTGAACACCACAAAACGCTTAAAGCCTCTTTCATTTGTTTATAAATTTTTGTGTTTTTTTTATTAAAGTTGTCTTCCGCTGGATAATTCCACTTACGAAATTCTTTTTTATTTTATGACATTTCTTTTTACGTTAAACGTGTTACAGTTCTTGCATATTCTTACGTATATACAAATATATGTATATAATTATTATGTTAGTAAAAGCTTAGCGCTTTCACTGTGAATTTTTTTCCATTGTTATTGGTAGTGATTTTTTTTTTTGTATGTCTGCTTATATTTGTGAATCCTCTTTTTTCTTCTATTCATTTTTCATTAATGTATGGGTAACATCACCTATATAACACTGGGTATATATACATTTAAAAACTGTATTCTTTTAATTTAAAGGAACCTTATCAATTTTTAGTTTTAAAACCGTTACTTATACTCGTATGTAGCGGTGATTTGCAAAAAAAAAATTTAAGACTGGGTTCAGAGTTAAAATAAATAATCTCTTCCTTGAGTGATAAGCACTAACACGTTTCTCGTTGTTAAATCGTAGTTAGTAACGGAATGTAATTAATAGTGTTCAACGCCACGTGACAAGATAAGAAAACAAATTCCAAAATGAATTAAACAAAATTCTAAGTGAACCCACAGACCAGGTAATGCTTACAAATGTACAATCCATCAAACATATATAAATTACAAATAATAGGATGTACATACATATAATTGCCGTTGGACGACTCAAATACATGATTGACCCACTGGTCAAATGAGCTACGAATGTTATCTGTCACTCTATGAACGTTATCTGTCATAAATGTGTTTGTATTGTATGTTCGTTATAATTTAAATGTTAATAAACTGTTTATTTTTATTAATGAACTACAATTGTTTACTGAATCTGACGCCCTTAATAAATGATAAGACATTATCAATAATGCCAATAAGTTAATGCATTCTGAAAATCAAGGACGTTGAATTGCATTATTAACAATTTTGTAATATTTTTTATACATTTCATAGGCATTTATTACATGTATGCATATACATATTTGCATTAACAATCCACGTGAACTTATTTCACAAAAATTAAACTTTTACAATGTAAATGTACAAGCAGCAGTGACTATATTTTTTTAGCCTACGTCGATATTTTATTGTTATTATTTGGTTGTAAATTCACAAATATGTACTCAATAACAATAATACTATGCTATTGTTTGTTAATTTTTGGTGTTATTTTACACTTTTTAGTTAGCATTTTATATATTGGAGTAAAAAAAATCGCTTGTAGCATTTGCATCTTTATATACTTGTACATATGTATGTATACACTTTCAAACATGTTTACAAGCAGAAGAATAACAGCTAATATCTAATTATTATTGCTGCAATTAATCTTAAAGGTTCTAAAAGTAATTCAAATAGCAGTATGTTTATAGTTTTACAATTTCAACCATATCATGAAGCGTTTCCGCACTGGACACTGAAGTTAACTTTAATCTCAATGTACCGTATTAGCGCAATTTACAGAAAAACGGGCACATAAAAAAAAAACGCACTGAATGATTGTGAATTTTTCTGTTTAACCCAACCACATTACCGTGGTTTAATAATTAATTTGTCTTTACATTCGCTTGGCTAAAATATTTTAGGCGGAAATAAAAATTTTCACCGGCTCAGCTGTCAAAACGACGGAAAGGAATTAAACGAAGTGGAAGCATGACACAATTTCCGCTTAGTGCTGTAAAACTGTTGTAATGGTTTTTTTTATGTAAAAGATATTTTTCTTGTTTAATATGTTTTGAAGATTTATTTGCTTAAAAATATATGAAAAATTATAAATCTGGATGTATCATTTAAAGAACAATTTTACAATTTCTTTCTACTAAAACTACAAAATTCGCTTTTAATCATTGTAGACACCCTGCACTTACCGGCAATGTTTACATCAATCATCAACTCTGTTATCAATACACGTGTATAGCGCAAGTTGACATACAAATGTTATTTGTTGTGCTAAACAGCAGTTTTGTTTTTATTTATTATTAGACATTTTATGTGATAAAACCTATAAATTAATGGCGTCTAATAAGCTGGAATATGATTCCACTTTGGGTGGCTCTGTCAGTTTGCCAACTCATGTGCAAACTTTTCGTTACGCCGCCAATGTTGTACAAGAAATGCGCCAGCTCATTGACGAGGTACGTAATCCTGTTAGCCGTAAGTTGGTCTTCCAAACATTGCCAAAACATATGCGTCGTCGTGCCATGTCGCATCATCCGAAGCGTTTACCTCGTAAACATCGTGCAGCACATCGTTCCCAAATGGCTAAAGCTGGCAAACCGCAGCAGACAAAGAGGCCATCACGTAAACATCGTCGACGACCCGGTAATTTGCTGAGGGACTATCTGAGACGACAACGCAAGAACACTTGGCTTGAAACACATATTTGGCATGCCAAACGATTTCATATGGTAGATCGCTGGGGTTATCGTTTACCACAGTCGAGTTGTGATAAAACATATAGAGCGTGTTATCGCGCTTCGGCGGAACATTGTTTACTGCAGGATATGTCATTTTATGCATGTATAGAACTTAAAGGAAAGTTAACGAATTTCCGTGAAGGTTTTGCCCGTTTGAGTAGCACCAAATGTGGTCTTAGTATAACTGCCAAAACATATATTAGTGGGCGCAGAGAGGGTAGCATAGACTTATTCAGGGATGGAAAATATCCAGATTATGCGCTGGGTCGTGTGACTTTTATGTGGCAGCCAATTAACGGGGATGAGACACTTAATGAAGAAGACAACATACGTACATTGTGGCTATGGGTGCACCCAAGCGCGCACCCGGCGGTGTTGGAAGAGCTTATAAAAGTATTCGAAGTGACGTCATTGAGTAGCATTAAAGTGCCTATAGAAACAGTGGAACCAGCGGAAAATGGAAGTAATAAGAAGCCAAATGAAGGAAAAGGTAATTTAAATTTTATTTAAAAAGTTAACACCTATTATTTTTTAATTGTCTCAATATTTTTTTAAAAGCACAAAAACCATTAAAACCAAAGGAAAAACGTTGTTTACAATTTATGACTAAAACTTTAGCTTTCGAACATATTAAACGTTATAGTAATGCCGAAACAGGCATTGAACTTAACGACTTAAAAGACACCATGAATCGCTTTCGGCTCACAGGTAATCTAGCGCAAAGTGTACTTGTACATGCTTTGAAACCAAAGAATTTCAATGAAGATAGTCCAACAACCTGGCTACATAAATTGATAAAACAGAATCCAGCTTTTAAAAGAGTGCATGACAGTCAAACCGAGTTTTGGCGAAATTGTAGTGAATTAGGTTCACCTGGAGAAGTAATCTCCAATATGATACTAGCGTTAAACGTTGAAGATCCACGTTTAAATCGTCCTCAGAAACGCACTAAGGCAGTGCTAGCGCCAACACTAAATGAAAATAGTCATGAATTTCTTTTTGATATACCAGAAAATTTACAACAAAGCATTCTATGGGACACCGAAGTGCGGGATAGTCTTTGCAAGAGCATGGTAATAGCAAGCGCATATAGTAAGCTGCGAGCAAAGCATGCAGCAGTGCCTGGTGCACGTTGCCAGTTCGAAGAAGAAATGCAAGCAGTGCCGATTATGCTTATACAACGACCAGGTTCACAGAATCCACAATATAAACGATTGGGTTACGGCTGTGGTTGGGATGTTATTGCGCCAGCTGGTTATGGCATGCCAATTTGGATGTCGCTAATAATGTGGGGCGCTAAGCCGGGTGGCCTACGAGAGTTTGAGACAATCGCACGCGAAACGGGTACGGAGGAGCATCTACCAGACACGGTGGTCGGTGAGTTGTTAATTAAGTTTATTATTTATATTTTAACTAAAATAATCGGCTTGGATTAATTATAGGTCGGGTGCTGGCCAATACACGCCATCAGGAATTACGCACAAAATATTTCCGCAAACCACCCAATCGACGTCAAAACTATAAAAAGCTGGCTATAGTCAGTCCGTTTCGTGCACCATTTGCTGAGCTAATACGTGATTGGGCCACTGATAATACTCAAATTACAGTTGAAACTTCAAACTTCAACATACTCCGTGATCGCATGCTACTACAACAATTACTGTTACATATACAAGGAAAGAATAAAATATTTCCGAAAGATATAGCAGAAAACGCGCTCATACAATTACACTTTCGTATGAAATCGCGCGGTAACTTATCGGACTACTCGTTGATATGCCTGCCCACAAGAGGTGATTTCAAACGTAATCTGAAAAAAATTAAAAAATCAAATCATGAAGCCATATTTACGGAGCCACTACTACCGGATATGGCCGAGCGGGAACGTAAAAACCTGCGTCAAACGCATAAAAAGCTATTAAAGCGCTTACGTGCACGACGTGTGCGCGAAAAGCGTAAACTGCAGGTGCGTTGCGTTAAAAAAAAAATAAACTTTTTCGATTTGACTTCTCTAATTTTTCTTTACAGGAGACAAGCAATACTCGAGTCCATATCAAACCAGCTAATACAGCCACTCTCGTTACCGAACAATTACAGCGCATGTGCAAACTCTGGCTGCCGGAGGATGTTGCTACACTGTATAGCGTACGCAAACAATGTCAACGTGAAGTTTTCGGCTATGCTACAAACGCACATTTCAGTTATACCGAAGCGACAGTCTGCGCAGTGGGCTATGTGACACCCGCAGGCTTAAGACAGCTACTCACATTGTGCTCAAATGCGAATGTGCGCCAGCCAATGTGTCTTATGCGCAATCCGAAGAGTCGTCACTATCGATTTGCGTGCTTTAAATTGCATTTGGATGTATAAATTGATAAATTGTAGTATAGTTTAGTGGTATAATGTTTGACATTCTTGTGTTTTATTCATTTTTTTCTTTCTTTTTTTTTTGTTTAATTTACTTATTCTTAAATTTTCCTTTTTTTTTTTTTTTTTTAACTTCTTCAACTTCACAATTTGCTATTTTTAATAGTAAGTATTAAGTTAATAATATAGTTCAGTCGCGCTACGCTATGTATGTATGTATATGTACGTTAAAGGTATACGTTTCAGTTATAACAACTTTTAACAGCAGAATCTTCATCTACTTTTAAACTACTTCTAAATACAAACAAATAAATATGTTGCGCCAAATGTAAAATAGTGCAAAAATTATTAAATAGTCTTTTAAGGATCTTTGTAATGCGTGTTAGTAAAAATGCACGCAGAATATATAGTTTTACAAATATGCAAATCGAAGGTTATTGCTATTCTTGCATAGCAATGAATAGCTGCTAGAAAAATGTTTGAGTTGTTGTTTTTTTGTTGTTGTTGTATACCTTCATTTAGTTTAAAACATATTTACGTATTTCAATTTCACGTTTCTGAGTTGCGGCTTTCTGCATTAATAAAATGTGTTTTTTGTGCCTCACACACATGCATTATCATCACCATCATCATCATCATCATTACATTACATCATCAAAGAAAATCACTGACAGATTTGCTACTATGATATTAAACAACACTGAGCTGTAGCACTTCCGCTAACATCCAGCTTTGAAGATTTTCTGTTCCTATCGTCACCACTCTGCAAATACACATGAAGATACAAGTGATGTACTTAAAATGAACAAATAAAATTAATGAAACAACAACATTATGCAGGTGGAATTATGAACAAATAGTAGAAACGCCAAAAACCAAAAATTTATTGGAAAAAATTTAAAAACGTATGAAAATAGTGAGGTTTACCGAAATACGTAGATACAAGTGAGGTATATATGTATTCATGTGACAATAAATATGCAGCTTGAATTAAAAATGCTTCAAATTTCAGTTAATTTGATAAATTTTTGCTTTATTTCAAATTAGGTTTGTGAGCTTTTTGTAACGATTCTTTAAAAAAAAAAATCAGATTTCTTCAAATGAAAAATTCACTTCTTTCTACGGTTAATATAATAGCACAAGTAAAAGAAAAAAAGTAATTGATGATGTTTATCGAAAATACAGTACCGACCACGCACATAAAGCATTTAATGCTCAAGGTGCGAAACTTAATCAAATATCCACCAAATTATTTTCATATTCCAGTACGTTCAACACGAAAACACATTAGCAACCAGTCACCTTTTATGACTCAGGAAAACATAAAAAAATTAAACAAATTTGACTTCAAATACTAGTATTTTTTATCTACACATTAATATGAAATAGCCAAAAAAAATGTAATAAATATATCCAAATCGTTTTCTATTTAGCTTCTATTTGTTAGTAATTTCTTTATTGACAGACAAAAATAATAATAGCACTCAATTAGCAATTTCATTTATGGTCAAAAAAAAAAAAGAAACTTAATATAGTATGTACGCATATATACATATTTAACTTTTCAATAACCCTAAAATTCATTACGGTTGAACAGTTGCTTTCATTAAATAGTGTACTTTCGTTGTAAGTATGTATTAACATAACCTAAGTCTTACTTGTTGGTAAATCAAAATTATTAAAGTATTGAAGCATCCTATTTGAAATAAAATATGTTTTTAACGTTTTAAGTAACTTTTTCCACTTTTTCTTTGTTGCGAATGTGTTACAATTTGCAACAGTTTTCTTTTTTTGTATACTTTAAATTAATGCAACCATCTTTATACATTTGTATGTTAAGTTGTACTTCATATAATTTAAGCCAGATTCTTTGCCTCCACTAACAGCGCTAAAATATGTTTATTTTTGTATGTGTCTGTGTATAGTACGTAAACGCTAAACTATGCATACTAATTTCTTCTTTTTTTTTGCATTTTGTTGATTTTGTTTACTACTTTTTATATATTTTTCTTGATTTATTTTTTCAAATTATTTTACCCAAGAGGCCAGCACTTCCTGTAAGTGGATAGAAAATCAAACAAAAAAAAGTTTTTTTAATTAGTTAATTAATAAGCATGATTAAATAGCATTTCATTACCCGCACATCGTCCATTTCTTCTTCAGATGAGGTATGTGATACCCCATTGTATGTTTTAAATGTCACATTTTTCATAAATGATTTCAATAAGCTAGCACTCAACTGCCCAAATTTGTACGGCACAACAGGATCAAAGTCACCATGCGCTTGGAATATCTTTAGAAGAATAGAAAACAAATGTTACGAAGTGAAGCGAAGTTGGAAATATTTATTCTATTGATACTCACTGGTATGTCATCGGCATTAGTTTTCAAACCCGGAAATTGTTTGTGTAAGGGCAACCAACACGACAGCGCTACAACACCGGCCAATGGTTGATTGTATGTCAACGCCGTAAATAGTGCTAATGCGCCACCTTGTGAGAAACCACCAAGCAAAATACGATTGGCTGCAATACCCCTAGTCACTTCATCATCAATCATAGCTTTAATATTTTGAGCAGCACTTTTAATTCCCTCTTCATCTTCAGGACCTGATATATCTAAGGTACGTAAATCAAACCAAGACGGCATACGAAAACCGGCATTTAACGTAACCGGCATCGTTGGTGCTGTCGGACAGATGACTTTCATACTGGGCGGACGTATTGTTGCCAATGCTGGAATCCATCCGTGACTGTAGATACGTTTAAGAGTAATGTGAAATCAATTAAAATACTTTGCGAGAGTGTATGTATGTATGTTATACAAATCATCAGCATTGTGTCATGCATACTGAGCATCTTTCAAAGTCTTTATAGAGCACGATTTATGTGTGTAGCTCTCTATATAGATGTATAAAAATTTTTAAATATTTTATTTTTAATAAAATTTATTTAACGCCTCTTGTTTTTTTGAAAACGATAATTATAATAATTCAGAAAATGAAAATATTTGAAATTGAAAATTCAGTAACATAAAAACTGAAAAGTTGAAAATAGCAAATTACAAATGTTAAAATATATTCCTACAGTCTTAAATAAAAAAAAAAATCCTATGCAATTATTGTTAATATTATTACCCAGAGTTTTCTGTTAAATTGGTGAAATTAAAGTAATAATTTAAATATACCGGAAATAATATAATCTGTATTTTTTTCTAATAATTATATAATTTTTATTGGCCTAGCATTGAATCATCGTATGAACTTTGATTCGATTTTAAACTATACCTGATAAGATTGCTCATTGTACTGCTTGTCATAATTCTAAACCTATTCATTGATTATTTCTGCCATGTATAGTAAATTTGTTGTACTTGTGTTCTATATATTATACATTATTATGTATGTATCTATTAATATCAAAATCAATATATTTTACCCAAACAAATAATTAATATTAGAACGCCGTGGAAAGAACCTTATGTTTACATAACATTTAAGCATGCAAATTTAGTTATTTACGTACCCGGTATCACCTAGGCCATGCAGAAAGATGAGCTGTAAAGATCGATGCGGTTTGAATATAAATATGTGACGCATATAATTTATTTAACATGCTATAAATATGCATGCCTTGAACTTACCGTTGACGTATGCTTGACGGTTGCCTCAATTATCACTGGAGCAATAGACATACTGTTGCTTGTTGTTAACCACAAAAGTAGCCAACTAACTGACAATACGAGTACAAGTTTTGCTAGTAAATATCCTGACACTAATAATAACAACAATTTGTCTCCTCTAGGTCGCTGTGGGCGCACGTCAATGACTGTACGTGTATATATGTTGTGTTGCAGATTATATATCAATTGTTGAAACTTATATTGACTCTGCTTGCCTGCTTTACACGCTCGTGACGTTAAATTTATATGTACGAATTGTATATGTGTGTATGCTTACGCATTCAGGTACAATTCAATTCAAATTCAATTAAGCTTAATGGAAAAAGCGGGCAAAACAAAAGCAAACTCAGCGTTGGCGTGCAGTGGAGATCCTTGGAGAACGAGGTGTCTGCAATTTTTGATATTACTATAATCAATTAACTTTTTGTTTTTGTATGCGTATATGTATGTATGTACGTACCTGATTCGCCGCTGGTTTATTAAGCAAAGATTTAATGTGGAACTTTTTAAGATTTATTTGAAACGAAAAATCTGCAATGATTCAAAAAATTAGCTTACACTGATTTCAACGTGTTATAGCATTTTATGAAAGCTATAAATAATTGCAAAAGTTATTGATTTTATTTTGGGGCGGTTGTAGTAGACGGTAGTGATTACCCAAAATGTATTATAAATGCTTAAGCAATTAGTTGTAATTGTAGACTTTATGTCGAATGAAAGTTTACAAATAACAGAATTTTTAATTGTAACTTTTATAGTGCACTAAAGTTATTTTTTACCAATTGTTAATTTTTGCCTCAACGAATTCCAACTACTTCCTCTTACGACAACAGTAATGGCTCGACAAAATCCCAACAACAGTACACATTAGCGACATTAGTAATGTTGCCAGCTTTCTATTTTTACTTCTGCTAATCTATTTTGACAAGACACATTGTGGAACGCATTAACGTAGCAGTCTTGTGCGCATAATCACCAAAATGTTAACGCATTAGAGCTACCAGCACTCTTTGATTAACAATTCTTTTTGTTTGCATTTAATTTTTGACTGAAATACGTTTGTAAGTTTATATTGTTAATAGAAAGTTAAAGTATAATATAAAATACGAGTATATTACAATACACTAAAGGATATCCTAGTTATAGCAATTGCCAGCAATTTTCGGTTCAATGGAGCACAAGTTTAGCATAATTTCAGGGGCGGAGCTATGCCAAGAACCATTCCTAGGCTACGGAGTAAAAATATAATAAAAATACATAATTGTATTTATCTTCCATGAAAAAATTTAATAATTTTATTAGAAATACTAAAAATAATTCACAGCTTTAATTATATCAATATAAATATATCTGTAGCAATGCCTTCAATATTCAAATGGATGATGAGGATGTCCTTTGGCGCTGTAAAATAAGATAGAAAAGTTAATTTTTTTCTTACAATCATATTTCGACATAGTTATTTTAAACATATTCATATAAATATTTAAAATCACAATTTGAAAATCTTAAAAATTATTTCAAATTCCGATACTAAATTAAAAAAAATAGAAAATCTGAAAAATGATTCCTAATTCACATAAAAAAATTAAAAAGTTGTAGCCAGTGCCAAGATTAAGGTCACGGCGAATTCAGATAAGATGAAATTAAGTTGTCTTCTTCTTCCACAGACTGCTCGATTTGCTGAATATAAGCCATATGATAGTCAATTCATCTTGAATTTAGTATTTCCAAAAAATATAAATATTCACATAAATTAATTTCTGTAGGCAAAGTAATTGCTCTCACTTCGAAGCTATTTTTCTTCATTTTCTTTGAAAAATTATTTGGAGCTTTCAACAAATAACAACAAATTTTTCTATGCCACTCTTTTTTGCGCAAAACACAATTCTCAAGTTTTTACTTCATCGAAATAGAAAATCAAGTTAGATTCAAACAAACACAAAAAAACTAAGAAAAAAAAAGAAAAAACTTGATTTCCCTGAAATAGCAACTTCAACTTGTTGAATTCGCCTTGGTTAGCGGTTTTCTATAAATAATCAACGGCAACAGATTTTAATATTCCAATTTTCTGCTACTCACTTCTCCATCAGATTATAACGCCCATTGAAATTCAGCTCGTCAATTCTCTTCATTTCCGTTTCATTCAATTCGAAACTACACGCATTGAGATTATCAGCCATGTGCTCACGTTTCGTAGACATTGTTATCACAGCATTGCCGCGTTGTATTTGATAAAGCAACAATATGAGAGCCGGCGCTCGCTTATACGACAGCGCCAAGTCCACAATCAAAGGATGTTCCAGCAGTTTATAAGTTCCCGGTTTGTTGTAGGGCGAATGTGGCGATCCCAAAGGGCTGTATGCTGTAACCACAATATTGCATTTGCGACAGAAATCGATTAGTTCACTTTGATTTAAATACGGATGGCATTCGATTTGTAAATTGGCGGGCTTTATACGTGCCACCTCGAATACACGTTTTATTTGTTCAACATTGAAATTGGACAAACCAATCGAACGGCAGAGCCCAGCATCTACCAACGCTTCCAGAGCACGCCAAGTGTCAACGTAATCGATGTTCGAAAATAATGTCTGACCATTCGCATCTAATGGATATTTTTCTTCGCTATCTACAAAACCGGTGGGCCAATGTATAAGATAATTATCGAAGTAGGTAATCTTTAATTCATTCAACGCATTTTGACAAGTAGCACACACTAATTGTGGATCGTGCTTGGTGTTCCAGAGCTTGCCTGTGATGAAAAGATCCTTTCTAAAACAATAAAAACTTTTATAATAAAATAAAAAGTATAAAGTAATTCATTAATGCCAACCGCTCCACCGCACCCGCTTTGATCTTCTCCTCAATTGCTAGACCCACGTCTTTTTGATTACCATAAACATCGGCACAATCAATGTGCCGGTAGCCGACATCTATGGCGTCCTTGACCAAACGTGTCACCTCATTGGTCGGCATCTGAAAGCATAGAGAGGGAGAGAGAAAAAGAAAAGCTTTAAAAAATAACAAAAATAAAAATATAAATAAACGCAATGACATTGAAAAACGACGATGGAGCTTTTTGCTTGCACGTGCAATTTGCCGTTAACTGCAATCTCAATGACACAAGCAAAAGCTCTAGGCATTTTCATGCAATTACACATATACACATGCACATACATATGAATGTATGCAAATGTTTATTATGTTTTGTCGCGATTTTTGCTATTTTACATATACAACATAATAATTTTACTATTTTTAGTCTAAATTTTAAAAAATTCCACTTTTCTTCGCACTTACACGCCAAGTGCCAAAACCAATCACTGGCATTTCGACGTCATTATTTAGCTTTGTTGTTGGTATCATAATTTTATGAAAATCTCTATCCGCTTTATCACTTAAAAATAGCCGCCAATTCACTTGTTTTGCTATGAGCTGACCGAATGGCGCTCTTTTCTTGACTAAATCTTTAGAAAAAGTTGGAAAAGAACTTAAAGCGCTGAAAGAAAAGCCAAATTGTGTTTTCTGAAGCTTTTTCCATATGACGAACATCACTTGATTGCTTTGCTAGCTTTTGCTTATTTAAAAAACAAATATATATTATTTATTTTTTTTTTTGAGTTGGAAGTCTGAAAGATTTGAAATGTTTAAAATTATACTAGCTTAGTATATTTTTAAAAGCGATTTTTTTTCAACAAATTATGCGCTCGACAGAAGTTTTCTTCAATAAATTGATTGATAAAGCCAACGTTATGGCATGTAAGCCGGCCATCTTGTTGGAATCCAAAGTCGTCCACATCGCCATCCTCCAATTCAGGCATGAAAAGGTCATTAATAATGACTCTATAGCATTCCCCATAGACTGCAACATCGTGAATGGCTTCATTTTTTGAAGAAATATGAAAAATTATTGCTTCTTCCCACAGATCACACCAAACAGTCTCTTTTTATGAATGTAATGGTGTTTCAACAACGTCTTATGGTGTGTCATCATTTCAAATGTGACAATTTCATTTATTACCATAACCAAAAGTGAGCGATGTCGGTTGCACCTAGTCGGGTCTTCTTCGATACTCACACCAACAGCAGCAAAAATGACTTCGGTGTGCACACTATAACCTCGTGGAGCGACTTAACTATCATAGATACTCTGCTCTTTTCGCAAAATAACTGTATGTATTTATAATTATCTCTAAAACTCTGAACTGGAAGGAGCAGAGTTTATAGTATTCATGGGTTAGGTAACAAGATACCTAGGAAGAGCTCAACGAAATCAGCCAGTAACTGAAGCTAGTCTCAATTGAAGCCTACTCATACTCACTACCAACCAACCTTCCAATGCAAGGCGTTGAAGTTTTTAAAATTAAATATTTTTTATGTTACGTCATTACGTAAAGACAAAATCTAGCTTTTAATTCCAAAGAAAAAATTTAAGTAAAAATCAAATTTGTTTTTATAAACTGATGAAGAAAATTTTTTAGCGGCGCTTAAAAAAAAAAAAGCGTTTCAAGCCTTTCCACTGGACCATACCTTCAGCCAAACCCTCAAGTGGCCACAGTGCTAACAAATCTAGACGATTCTTTAACAAATTAGCTATGTATGCTCCCTGCGCAAAGACTTGTCTGCTGGATGATCGCGATGCTAAAACCAAGCTTGCGCGTATTGTGACATTTTACAACGGGGTTAAAGTGCCCATTATAGGAATCTCCACTGCAGAGGTAAACGGATAATACAGTCTTAAGACTTTTGCAGAATTCTTAAGTCTTCTTACTAATGTTGTAGATTGAGCCGCACATCACAACGCGCTGCGTAAGGGAAGCTATCGAAAGCGGACTACGTCATATAGACTGTGCGCCGATATTTTGTAATCAAGAAGAGGTTGGACAAGCTATAAAAGAGAAAATCGATGAGGGTTTCATAAAGAGGTGGAGATGGAGATGGTTTTTATATTTAAATTATAAAAAATTCAATCAATTTTTCATTTTAGGGAGCAACTTTATGTTTCCAGCAAGCTTTGGAATACGCGACACAACCCCAAATGGGTGCGTCGCGCTTTGGAGGAAACTTTGAAGCAACTGAAATTGGATTATCTCGATAACTACGTTATGCACTCCCCCATGGGTTTCCGTGATAGTCTTGTAAATTATCCGCGCAACAACAGAGGTGAGCTGCTGTTTTCCGATGTCGACTATGTGGACACGTGGCATGCAATGGAGTCGTTGGTTGATGACGGTCTGGTACGTTCAATTGGCTTGGCCAATTTCAACGCCGAACAAATTGCCCGTATACTGGAAGTGGCCAGGGTAGCACCGGCCAATTTGCAAGTGGAATGTCATCCATATTTGACACAGAAAAACTTAATGGATTTTTGCTGTAAGCATAATATGGTTTTTATGTGTTATCAACCAACGGGACCGACGAGGAAAAAAGCCGACACACGTATTATTCCACTGAAGAGTCATCCGAAAATTGTATGTTTATCAAAGAAATATGATAAAAATCCCGTGGAAATATTAATGCGTTATCAAGTGCAACGCGGCAATGTGGTACTCATAAAGGCGACAAATAAGGACCAAATGAAACAAAATGTGAATATTGAAAGCTTTCAGTTGTGTAGGAAAGATATGAAAATGCTGGATTTGATGAACTGCAACTTCCGGAACAACTTGATTTCTAGGTTAGTTTTCGAAGTTTTTTTTTTTAATACAAAATAATAAGTCAAAGAAATTGCCATGAAGAAAGATATTTAAAGAGTGTCTTAGAAGGTGGGAAATTTCAATACGTTCCACACTGACATTTCAATTGCCGGAAATGGATGGGTAGAGCTTTAGCGGCTCAAAATATCGGTTTGTTTATCAACTGATTTTTTTTGCTAGCAAAATAAGATGTGTTTAGAGGCAAAAGAGCATGTTCCAACGAAAATTATAAGAATGATGACTTATTATTCGTAAAAGCGGCAGGAGAAAGATCATTTCCCTCGCCTTACATGAGAGATTAACTTTGACAGACGATGATTATTAACTGCTTCTATTTAGTTTCCCAATTTTTGAATTCTATGGAATTAAATTCAAAAATAATGAACTAAGTTCAATAAATGCTTGATTAGTTAGTTGGTTGAAAGAGAAAGGTTGAGGACTAGACCGCAACCGGCCATACCTATACCATTGAGCAGGCTTACTGTGCTGCCCCTGTGTATCCTAATTAAGTTCGCCCACTTCCGTGAGGTTGGAGCTTGGAGCTTCGTGGAAGAAATGATGTCTTAATCAGCAAAAGTCAGTCAGTCAGAAGATGATTATGGAGATGATATCTCACTTTTGATTAATGTATCAGGTGTACAACTTTGCTTCCGCCGTTTTCCGATAGGTGGCTGTACCGGCTGAGGCTGGTTGAAATACATAGATCACAATGCCTTTAAAGTGAGTGTGGACAGTGCCTAACGAATTGTCATCGCCGTTTCAGTGACAGTTGTTCTTGTTTTCGTATTATTCACGCTCGAAAAAATGTCCGTTTATGTGCCTAATTCTCGCCATTTGCGGGAAGTTTTACTTTTCTGTTACAATTCAAAAAAAAATGCAGCTGAAGCGCATCGAATGCTCTCACGATTACGGTGATGCTGCTCTGAGTGAAAGAACGTGTCGGGAGTGGTTACAACGTTTTAAAAATGGTGATTTCGATGTCGAAGATAAACATGGTGGTGGAAGAGAAAAAACCTTCAAAGATTTACTATGAGCTCTTAAAACCAGTTGAAACCATCACAGTAGATTGCTACCGAACGCAACTGATGTGTCTTATTCGCGCGCTAAAAGAAAAGCGGCCGTAATATCAAAAGCGACATGACAAAGTTATCCTCGAACATGACAATGCTCGGCCTCACGTCGCAAAAGTGGTCAAAAAGTACCTGGAAACGCTAAAATGGGACGTCTTGCCCCACCCGCCCGTATTCCCCAAATGTCGCCCCTTATGACTTCCACCTATTACGTTCGATGACACACGGCCTGGCAGATCAACATTTTCAATCCTTCGAAGAATTGGAAAAATGGATTGCTTCATGGTTAGCGTCAAAAGAAGACTCCTATTTTCGAGCCGGGATCCGAAACATGCAGGAAAGATGGGAGAAAGTTGTTGAAGGACAATACTTTGAATAATATATCTGTAAGCACTTTCTCGCAATAAAGCTTCTAATTTTGGAAAAAAAACGGCGGAAGCAAAGTTGTACACCTGATATGTAACACTTTGGTCTGTCTATAATATACGCTCTCCCTACAATAATTTAGTGGTACATGCCTCGTTGGAAGAGTTCCTCTGTGGCCTACTGATTTAAACAACATTTGGAGGCGCTAAGCGCGAGCTGGTCGTCTGCCTTTTCATTGCCTTCCACATCCATGCGATTTGGGGACCAAGCGATATTCACTGGGTTTTCTGTACTCAGTATATGTAGATATGGATATCTTCATTATAACCGACAGATCCGCCTTCCGTCCATTCTTCCTTACTAGGGAAGAAATAGGAGGCCTCTGACGGCATAAGGTTTCCGTTTCTTGGTCACTTTTTAGTTTTAGTCCACCTACACTTCACCAGTTGAGTCTGTTTCCTACATCGCTTGTATGTTAATTGGCCTAATATCTTCAAGGGTCTTTCTTGAGGTAGTCTTCATTGCGTCTATTACTCCAAGTGGGAAGGTAAGTTGAACCTGTTCCAAGCCTGTATACGGCACTTCTTCTTGAATGTTGCCCATCATACTAACGCCCTATATGTCAGTATGGGCCATACAACTCTAACTCTAATGTCCACTTGGAGTAACAGACTTCTGCAGGTTTTACATTTAATGCTTAATATAAAAGATTTTTAGCTCTGTGATATATTATTTATAAAGAAAGTTGTTATTATTTTACGTTTCAGCGCTACTGGACATCCACATCATCCTTTTGAAAATGATTGCAGTTAAGTCAGCGCTGTTATTGAATACCAACTACAACCGCAGCCAAAATGCGAACCGGATATAAATAACTGCAATGTGTTTACAGCAACAAGAAAATATAAAAGGAGAAGGCAATGCTAATAGAAATCAAAGAAAGTCAATAATAAATAAATTTAACAAATATTTTTTCAAAATTTTTATTTTTCTCCTAAACAAATTCTAAAATAAAAAAAATAATAATAAAATAGTTTAAATTTTCAATTAGAATATAATTAAGCATGAGAAAAATAAACACAATTTTATGCAAATTTACAAATAAAAATTGGTTTCGCTACTATTCCGGCGAATATCGCATATTTCATTTTCCAGGAATCAGGTAAGTTGACCTAAAGCGAAATAATTTTATATTTTTCTTTCAACTTTTAAAATTTTTGTTGAATTTTGGTTTAATTATTGCAAAATGCATTCTTATTCGCTTATTTAAATTTTAGCAAAGCAAAGGAAGAAAACAATGGCGCCGAAACAGTTATGTCGAAAATACAGTTACCATCAAGTAAAGCATGTGTTGTATTAACGGAAAAGATTGACGAGCCTTCTAAGAAATCGAGGACACCTATAAAAAATGTTGCGAATACTATATTGAAAGAGCCGCAAGAATGTACAGTGAAACCAGTTACTGAACTGCCTGAGAACTGCAATCCGAAACCGCCAGAAATTCCTGCAATCAAATTAAGAGACGGTTATATGATGCCCATGTTTGGGCTTGGTACTTGGGGTGTAAGTAGTCGTAAGTAGTTTTTTTTAATTCCTTTAATTATTCATGTTTTCCATCTAATTCCAGTCGGCGCCGGAAAAGGTTGAAGCAGCCGTAAAACATGCCATAAAAGTTGGCTATCGCATGTTCGATTGTGCACATGTCTATGAAAATGAAAAAGCCGTTGGTAAAGCTATAAATAAGTCAATAGAAGAATGCCTTGTCAAACGGTGTTTATTTTTATTTTACTATTAAAATTTAATTTGTCCTCTAAAATATTTTCCTTAAGCAAGAATCTTTTCATAACAAGTAAGTTGTGGAATACTTATCATCATCCCGATTTAGTGCTTGAAGGATGTCGGCGTACTTTAGATGATTTGAATTTATCATATTTGAATCTTTACCTCATACACTGGCCTATGGGTTATAAAGCAGGAAATGAACTGATACCGTATGATGCATGCGGGCGGGTATTGACCACTCGTGTGGATTATGTGGAAACGTGGAAAGCGATGGAGAAGTTGGTTGAGTCTGGTTATACGCGCTCTATTGGCGTATCCAATTTTAATAAAAATCAAATCGAGCGAATTTGGAAAATTGCGAAAATTAGGCCTGTTGTCAATCAGATCGAATGCTATCCATATTTACCACAGCAACGTCTTATGGCATTTTTAAAGGAGAAAGGCATTGTACTTGTTGCATATAGTCCATTGGGTGCGCCTGCTAGGCCCTGGGCGAAATCTGAAGATCCGCTTGTATTGGAAGATAATTTGGTAAGACTAATTATTTGCATGTATGTATGTACATATGTATATGTAAATGTGTAATTATTACTGTTGTGCATCCTCTCCGCAGATCAAGACGATTGCTTTTAGTCATGGACGAACACCTGCGCAAATTTGTATACGTTACCAGATACAGCGCGGTAATGTCGTAATACCGAAATCAGTAACTCCATCCCGAATTGAGAGTAATTTCGACGTGGCTAGTTTTGAATTGACTGGTCAGGAAATGAAAATGTTAGATAATTTAGATCGAAAATTACGCCTTGTTGCTCTAGAAAGGTTTACATTTTTATGTAATTAAAATTGTTTAGTATATATTAACTTTAAATTTTCTACAGTGTATCCAATCATCCCCATTATCCATTTCATGATGCATTTTAACTATTTGATAAAAGTTGCAAAGTTTGAATGGTTGCAATGACTTTACTTCTTGGCGAATAAAAAATTAGAAAATAAATAAGAACCTTTTTACACTGGATTTTAAAGCTGATTCGTTTAATTCTTTGCTTATAAATCGAAATTACTAAATGTCTATGCGAATATACACGAAAGTTGACAAACTTTTATAGTTGCCTTGATGTCAGAGTTGCTTATTTGGGAAGTTTCTTATAGTCACTGGTAATCAAAGCAGACGTCAAATGCCTTTTTCTTCAGGATTTCATTTTAGAGGGCTAAGCTGGATGTATGTAGCTTTGTATACCGTTATAGCCAATCATCTTCGAATATTTTTTGAAATGCTAGCTACATCCTGTATATATTCAAATTTTTTTATCGCATCGTTTGGAACACAGCTATTTTCAAGCGAGCTCAAATTTTCGTTCGTACTGCTTACTGACACTCGTTATTTGTTTCGCAGCGAGTACGTCATGTAATATTTGAAGATTTGAATTTGACACTTTTGTTAAATTTGATTTGAGATTTTATATTTCGGCATTTAATTCATTTTGGGAATACATTTTTTTAACTTAATACTTCTTAAAAGTATAACTGGAAGTCGACAAGCATGTTAAACGAAGATTTATTCACGGAACCTTGCTTGGAGCGTCATTTCACTGGCCATTGTTCCAGCATAACACAAGTACGTTTTAGTCCTTGTGGTCAACGTTTGGCCACTAGTTCCTTGGATCTCTCAGTTATTTTGTGGGACTTAAAGCAAGCTGCACGTTGTATACGTTTCAATGCACATTCAGGTGCCGTTTATAGCGTATCTTGGTCGCCAAAGTCAAATTTAGTAGCATCTGCAAGCAAGGACCGCACAGTTAAAATATGGGAACCTAAAATTCGTGGAGTTTCTGGTGAATTTTTGGCACATAGTAAAGCCGTACGCAGTGTTGACTTTGATCCCAGTGGTACAATGGTGAGTTTTATCTTAATGATATCAAACATTACTAAATTATTAAACTTATATTTTAAGCTCATCACCGCTTCCGATGACAAAACATTAAAACTATGGAAAGTCGCACAACGTAAATTTTTAACTTCTTTCACTGGTCATAACAACTGGGTACGTGCAGCCAAATTTAGTCCAAATGGACAATTAGTCGCATCATGTGGTGATGATAAGTCTTTAAGAGTTTTCGATGTGAGTTCGGGTGAATGTGTACGCACATTCACCGAAGAACGTGGAATGGGACGGCAGTTGGCCTGGCATCCAGATGGAAATTTAATAGCTGTAGCCTTAAGTTGTAATCGTGTGAAGATCTTTGATATAGGTCAAGGGGAACTTATACAATTATATCAAGTGCATTCAGCACCAGTGAATGATTTGGCATTTCATCCAAGTGGAAACTTTTTACTAACCGGCGGTGATGACGACACTATAAGGATTTTAGATTTACTAGAGGGACGACCAATTTATACTCTCACTGGGCATACAGATAAAGTATGCGCTGTTGCATTCTCACCAGACGGTCAATTGTTCGCTTCCGCAGGCGAAGACAAACAGGTTGGAATACTAATTGCAATTTTAAGACTTTTTTTTATAAATAATTATTATATATGATTTCTGTTTTCTTAACAGTTACTTGTTTGGAAATCTAATTTGCATACATTTGATGCTACCAGCCATCGCAACAAGCAAGCAACTTCACAAAAAACGCAAAGTGAACGAAATTATACTGCCGCACCGCCTAATTCCGCCGCGGCCACTTCGGCAGCTAGCGTTGCAAACATATGTGATGATAGTATTTTCATTGATCCACGACAGTCGGTGGCTTACAAAATGCGTGATGAAAATTTTCAGGTTTTGGATAGCCAATACACAACATCAAGGCAATCATCTGTAAGCAACATTCCAACAGTACACCGACAGCAACACGAAACGGTAGATAAACTAGAAACAGATGGAAATGCTGATAGCATCAGCTATAGTAGCAACAGCAGCACTTCACTATTACACATGACAAACAAAAGCGAAAGTAATAGCAGCAATGTCATCATTGAAACTCATAAGACACCTAGCAAATATTTCTAATTCCCTGCTTTATGAACACACTTAATGTGCTTGTGTTCTGTATGTTTGATATTCTGCTGCTGTTGTCATATAAATAAAACGGATTAGTTTTTATAACACATTCTTTATTATAATTATGTTCAACGTTTTATTACACCGACACCCCTTACATTATATCTACTTTTAATTCGCACACAATTTTTAACATATTAATAAAAATCTATTAATATAATAGTTGATAAAATTGAAATGTGTTTTATTTGTAATCATAGACAATAAAACCCTCATTGTTTGAATGTGCTACTACGCGAACGGCAAGCAATGAAGATGTGCAAATAAACATAACTGCAGTTCAAATCCAATTGACGGAAATCTTAATGACTTTGCAAAAGCTAAAACAACGTCTTGGGAGTATTGAGAATGCGCTTTTAGAAAATACATATTAAGTAACATTTTCATATGCTTGAACGCTTTTTGTTATTTTCTAATATTTATTTTTAGGTCAATTCTATTTTTGTATTGTTTTGGCATCAGGATTCAGTTTTGTTTGAAATCTAAATAAAGTTTTATAATGATATCTCATCTTTATTTTGTATTTTTCGTTAAATGATTTAATTTCCTTTACTGGAAAGTGTTTTTATTGTAACTCTTCAATTTGCTTGATTGTTTTACTAGCATAATTATTCTATTAAATTGACCAGAACTACATTCAAACATTTGTTTTGATATTTAATATATTAATATAGTAAATAGAATTGTTTTTTTTTTTTTTTTGGAAATTGTGTAAATATGTAACTTTATTCGTTTGATCTATAGTAAATCGATTCGTATCCGTTTTAGTTGTTTAGCTATTGTATATTTAAAAATTGTTTAGCTGAAAATTTGTTAATTAAACACTAGTTTGACAACGAGAAACTGCTTAAATTCTCTAATAGCTTACAATAAATTGTTATCCGTTTGATGTACATATTTAAATCAATTTAATTGATCCTTCATTAAATTTTCAATTACTTATTAAATTTTTCATTTGTTTTTTAACTACTTATTAAAATTTTATTTCTAAAAAATATCAATATAATTGGCCATACACAGATGTGTTTACGTTCGCTTTCTTTGCCACAATCTCTCCCAATTCGTCGCTTTTTTAAACTTCCATTTTTAACTTGGCAATTTTACGAAATTTGCAAAAAAGTTCATTTCATTCTTTCACACCAACATACTGCGTCGCTTTACCGGTCTTCTTTATGGTCTCCAGCAATTCATCTGCTGTAAGACTGGACGTTACAAGCACTGTTTTTGAATCAAGATCAATATTGATTTTTTCAACCTTTTCCGCTGTACAAAGTAAAAGAAAATAGTTTTAGTGATTATACAAATTTACAAATAACACTAACTTTATCAGTTACGTTTGTTTATAGATAACTTATACACTATCTATACATTAAAAGACTTTCTTTTCAATAACTTTTATTTTTGTTTGCTTTAATTGTGTATAATCAAAGGTACTGCCCTGATAACAAAACAAAGTTGTTGTCATGCCAAGAAATACAAGCTACCATGCAAGTAAAACAACAAATAACGCTGAAGATTGAGTGTTGTCTTTTGTTCTTATAAATAATATATATTGTCGATAAAATTTTTGTGATTTATTTGCATTGTTCCTAAGCTCAATTAATTAATTTTGCACCGACACAATGGTAAGGCCAAGCAGCCTTATTAACACACAATGAACTAAGGGTAAGGATAAAAAAAAGTAGATAAATATCATCATCTTACAACTAATTAGTTTTGTCCCTGACATAACTGTAAATAATTACTTGCCACCCACATGCTACTTACCACCCAACTTGTTTAGCACCCGCTCTACGCTGTTTGCACATCCTGAACAGGTCATTTCCACTTTAAACTCATGTACCTAAAAATAATTATATTAATGCCTATTATGAAAAAAAAACTGGACACTTTAACTTACTGGCATGTTGTTACTCCGCGCACTATGCGACGACGACGACGATGTTTGCAAATATAATTGTGGCAAATTCAACAGCTTGGACTTGTTTCAACTGCTACGCAGGCACAGTACTTCAGAAATTGATTATTACCAAAAAATGCCGTACAAAGTATCGGGGATGAATGAAGTAATTTTCTGTTTTGAATTGTTGTCAGCCAGCTATATGTAGAAAGCTTTTTTAGAATTGTTCAATTCAATATAAATCAGCAACAAAATACAATTGATACAATACAGTAGGGTAATTGGCTGCGACAAAAATTGCAATGATGGCAAATTTGGAAGAAAAGACGTTTTAATAACTTATGATTAACAATCGACTTTTCAATTCTGACACTAGAGATGGAGCGAGCGTCCTTGATCGATATATTATAGCTGCAATGGTTATCGAAATTTGCATTCACTGGAATTTTTATTTTATTTATATAGATATGTAGGGTAAATAATTATTTACCAATAAGATTTTTTATCGTACATTATGCTTGACAACATACAATCCCTTATATATATGAATATAACAAAGCAGATAAGATTATTCCTCAAATAAAATGTATCGATACTTTATAGTTGCCAACACATTTCAACAATCTTATCACTGTATAACAAGGTGACTCATAGCAAAAAATTCTTCTCGAGAAAAATTGGTAAAAAAAAAATTATACATTAAAGTTCATAGTTTGACCAAGTAGTAAAAAACAAAATTTTGAAATTCCTCCACATTTTATTGAGAATATTTGCATTAATTGTAATTAGTAAACTTCTATGAAAGTAAATATATGCGTATATGTTATATGATTATCACTTGTTAAATAACTTTCTCTTCTTGCTTTGCCCACACTGCTGTTAGTTAATGCAGTACATCGAATATATTAATAACAAATGCATTTAGAACGCTGCAAAGGTTAATTTGGAAAACAAACTTCAATTAGGGTCTGCTCAGTCTATAGAAATACACACTTAAGACAACCTCTTTTATCTCGAAGTATGCACCATTTTCCAATTAATAACAATTTAATATTTGTTTATGTTGAACAGACGCACACCATGGAATTGCGGTAGTTTAGGTAAGGTAACTACTACAAGCGAAATGAAATTGGCAATAAAATGGTCGGGATCATTTCTTGTATAAATACATGTCAGCAAAAAACTGGAGATAAAAAAGAAAGAAAATATATATTTAATGTTAGAGCTACTTTAGTTACTTACAGAACAATTGGAACAGCTGTAAGAAATTTGCGTGTTGTTGTAAATTGTTCACCATCATCAATTTGTTCCCAATGCGTTAGGCGTCGTGCACCATCGTTTTCAATACTTAGCCAGGGTGCTCCTTTTATTACGTGCAAAAAGTAAAGGTGTGCCTGAAATATGTAATGCGTTTGTGAAATCAATTACTATATAATTGTTTATTTAAACCTATATACTCACGGCATTATGCAGCAAGTTTGTAATTGTCCAAGCCATTGGAATGCTTATGAAGGGAACCGACAATAAAATCAAGTGGACGGTAAGCACACCCAAACCGTATGCCAACCACATGCCGCGTGCACCCAACCAAGTAGCATTGGGATTTAATTCACCATGACCACCTGCAATTGCCGTCATATTTGCCTCAAATTGAACTTCCTTAACAAAAACTATATTATTTGATGCTTAATTCCGAGCTTTTCTAGAAAAAAAACAATTCACTTGCTAATTAGTATGTTTACAACTTGTCTGATTTGTTATCAAGATATCAGCTGACGCTAGGGTTGCTAGGCCTTAGAAAAAATTTACAAAATCAATCGTTCAGCCAAATTCCAACTTTTAGTGGGGTGACTTATATTTGGCAGAAAACGAAACGTCTGAAAAAAATGTGAATTCAATTGCCGTTATTTATTCAATATTTTTTATAATACGCAAATTCGAAAACGAATATCTAAATGTTCTGAAATTTATTACCTACTTTTCTGGGCCTACAAATTCATAAGGATATCTCACGATTCTTCAAGTTAGAGCGCAAGCCACTTGCGTGACGTGCTAAGGTATTTATTTTCCAAATACGTCTCTGCGACAGCTGCATTTGTGTCATTTTTATGTATTCTTCATTAAATTTTCTACATTAACTATTAAATTGGAAAAACTGCATTCGTTTTTCCGTAAAGTGCAAGAAAGTAAATAAATATTAATATATCTGATATATTACTAGTTGACCAAAAATATATTTTTACACCACAGAATTTTTAAAATTTTGCTTTATTTACTATTAAACCACTCTCGAAATACCAAGTAGTCCCTAATTGAAAGTGTATAAAGTGCAGTTATAGTCATACACAACGGCGTCATATAGTGAAAAACTCCCGAGTGAACAGACGCCACTAATGGACGGTCACGTCGGCGCAAGCACCAGCAGCTCGCGTCTTAACGGGAGCAGTGGCGGGGAGCAAAGGAAACAGCAAAATAATTATGGATCTAATGAGGAAGTTGATGGCGTAAGAAATTTTTTATTAAATCAATATATTTTATAAATGTACTATTATTATTATTTTTATGTTGTGTTTTTCCAGTCTATATTAGATGTACCAAATGTAGTAATCCGTCCTGCAAGGCGCAGAGCGAGATCTACCGACGCAACCATAGGTGCTCGTTCTGAAGATGGCCCTCGCGTTCCCCGTGAACTGAACCCTGAAGAATTAGATGAAGAGGTTTTGAAATATGGCGCTCAACATGTTATTAAGTTATTCGTGCCGGTCTCCTTGTGTATGTTGGTTGTAGTCGCTACAATAAATTCAGTAAAATTCTACTCCACAACTGACGTCTACCTGTAAATATGAAATAATCATCTTGCTAAGCACCTTTACCATTTAAGTATGTGTTTGGTTTCAGTTTGTATACACCGTTCCATGAATTATCGCCAGATCCAGGTGTCAAATTTTGGAATGCTTTGGCTAATTCTTTGATTCTTATGACCGTTGTTGTTATTATGACTATTCTACTGATTGTTTTGTACAAACAACGCTGCTACAAAATTATCCATTCCTGGTTGATACTCTCATCGTTCATGCTGCTCTTCATATTCAGTTACCTTTACCTAGAGTATGTAAATCTAATTAATTTTTTATTTGAAAAATTTAAGTTAATTTATAATATAGAGAGTTCCTACGCGCTTATAACATTCCAATGGATTATCCAACTACTTTATTAATACTTTGGAACTTTGGTGTCGCTGGTATGATGGCTATACATTGGAAAGGTCCACTAATTTTACAGCAAGGTTATCTAATTTTTGTTGCTGCTTTAATGGCATTGGTATTCATAAAATATTTACCCGAGTGGACAGCTTGGGCTGTACTAGGGGCCATATCGGTGTGGGGTAAGCATATAATATAGAAGCAAAACTAAATTGATTGCCGTAATATGGGTTTGTTATTCAGATTTAATAGCTGTTCTCACGCCAAAGGGACCTTTGAGAATTTTAGTGGAAACTGCACAGGAACGCAATGAGCAAATTTTTCCCGCATTGATTTATTCATGTAAGTAAATCTGAATAGCAAATAAAAAAAATTTTTTAAGTAAGATATATGTATATTTTCATAGCTACTGTTTTATACACCGTGTTGGGTGCTAAAAGTGCTACAACAAGCGACAGAGTAGATGTCGAAAACATTGAGAATGGTGCAGAGCAAAGTCCACAGGAAGCAGAAGGGCAAGCTACTTCCTCCGCCGGCTCGGCAAGTCGTACAGGTAATACCAATAACGTGGTGAATGACGACGCAGCCCAGGCCGCCGAAGGTATGCCACTAGTCACATTTAAAACCAACGGAAATGGTATTTATCAAAATCAATATTTTCAAATTTATTCATTACGCTTTTTGGAATGTATGTAAAATCTCTAGAGGTGGTTTGTGGGTATTTCCATTATGTTTTTGTTGCACAAACGTCAAACATAAATTTTAGTTAATTTATTAGATTGTTGAAGATTAATTAATACTTCCTTTATATTGAAAAGAGTAGTGTTTTATTTTGAACCATTATTCTATATTTTCTCTATCAATAAATGTAGTCCGACTTATAAGCAGCATGTATACTTTATCCACATTTTTGAATACATATTATAAATATGTCGAAATTCTATTATAGACGCTGGTTTTACTGAAGAATGGTCAGAAAGTCGAGTTGAGCGTGTGCGAAGTCGTCAAATCGAAGTTCAAGCTAGCAATGGACAGAATGCAAATCGGTCAACTCATTATCGCACCACCACTACTGCTACGGAAACGCCACAACTGGAAGCACAAGAACGTAAGTCCTTTAGGTTTTTCAAAAAAAAAAATGTATATATGTACATTAAATAATTGTATTTTCTAATACTGCGTTTATTTTCAGGCGGCATTAAACTTGGACTGGGTGATTTTATATTTTATTCTGTTCTGGTTGGAAAAGCCTCTAGTTATGGTGATTGGATCACAACTATTGCCTGCTTTGTTGCCATATTAATTGGGCTATGTTTAACGCTATTGTTATTGGCTATTTGGCGCAAGGCTCTACCGGCTCTACCCATTTCTATAACCTTCGGCCTTTTGTTTTGCTTTGCGACCAGCGCTGTCGTTCAACCGTTCATGGATAGCCTCTCAGACAAACAGGTGTTCATATGAAGACATTTTGAAGTTATCAACTAAATATTTCCTCTTAACATTTGTACTGTATTATAAAGTAGACTATCTGCAAAATAATGAATTTACACTTATATCGTAATATTTTTAGTTTAAATTCAATAATAATAATAACAATACAATTTTCATAAACAAATTGTGTTTTTATTGTAAATAAAACAGCTTCGGCAAATGAGTTCATTTAAGATTTCTCTTCTCTATTTTCCTGCTCTTCAGGAAGGCTTTTACTTTTAATTATAAGTTTATCTTTGAGTCCAATCACCCAACCCGGCTCCAGCCCGTAGAATATTTGACGTGCATCCTTTTGGCTAATCAACATTTCATAGTCTGGATCATCTTCAATGCGAGGCAACTCATATCCATACTTTTGTGCCAATACTAAACGCTCCTTACTTATTTCCTCGGGATCAGCGAGATAACCACGATTTTTAGCGGACGTATAGTATTCCACCGCATCTTGTGGTGGCAACAAACGTTTTGGTATTGGTACACCTTTTTCAAACCATTTTGAGGGATTCACCATAGCCTTAAAATATTAAAATGATAATTTCGTCTAATAATAAAACTTAAAAAAAATATTACCTGTAAACTTCTGGGGTCATAATAAGCTGTACGGATGACACCGCCATTTCGTTCAATTGCTGCTATTACCGACTCCTTTGCGTGCTGCACTTCAATACAGATTTTCGCTTTAAAACGATCAATGCCTTCGTCAGTCAATTGGAAACCATATTCCATGCTAGCGGGTTGTAATCGTAATAGACCTGAATTACACAGAGTTGTAATATCGATAGGCTGTTTGGAATCGATACGATTAGTGTCTAATAGGACTTGTAACTGCAACAATGATATTGGTGGATATTGACGACGTAGGTGATGGCCTTTGTAATATGGTTCGTAGGGAAAACGCAGGTAGAAGGGGTTGTTGCCTGTTTCATAACCAAGACGCATATAATTTTGTCGCTGGCCCGAACCTTTATTACCGGCGCCATGTTTATCACCACTGTGTTGGGCTCGTCCACGTTTAGTCTATGAATTACGGTTTAATGTTTTCAAATAAAAATTATCATGTTTTGTTAAATATTTTTTTTAAGAACTTACATTTTTCTTAGAGTTTGGATTTGGTCGTATATTGCTGAGTTGAACACGCGGAAGTGTGCGCAGCATCTTCAATGCCTTCTCGGCTGATTCACGTAGATGAGCCATTTTATTTCACTATCTTTACTAAATAACGTTTAATTCAATTTTTTATATTTTATCAACTTTATTGCATAAACAACTTTTTTTTATATTGTAAAGGAAATTCACATTTTCATTTATTCAATAAATCAAATCGGCACCAAATGTCAAAAACAGCTGTTTCCATTATCAAATTAATTAACTTGGCAGCACTTTTTCTAATATTTTTTTCTTATTTGTTTACATCCTCTTTATTCATTTTTCTTTACATTCCAAAATAAATTAAAATTACACATCATTTTATCTCAGGATTTATACCGGAAATATATCAAGACGAAATACATATATTTATTAATATATTAATGTTAGCAACTTTTTCAAACTGCCAATGCCTCCAGTCAAAATGGATTTCGATTTAACAGATAGGGGTTGGGTAGATTTATATGTGAAAAAGTGTGAAAATATTATGAAGGAATTTACAAATTATGTCTATGGTAAGTGCAAACATACTTATTTATGTCCTTTAGAATGTGTATATTTTAATTTTCTTTCAATTGACAATAAAGCATTACAAAATCACTGCATAAAAGAACGCAGCCGATGTGAACAATTGGACAGAAATTACAAGCGCTTACAGACGAAATTATCTGAAAACAAACAACAACAGATACTAGAAAATGAACAAAATGATGTTTTATCCATACCACACGACCGCAATATAAATAAAAATATACTGGCCACTACCCCGTTTGATGCTGACGCAAATCGATCCACAATAAGTGATTGTTCGCCGGCTTTTCTGGATATGGCAATGGATAGTGAACAATTACAAATGGAAACAACTGCCGCACTAAGCCCAGCACAACATAGACTAGACACAGTGCTCTCGTCAGAGCAATTAACGAGCCCTAGCCGGCATTCGTCAGTAATAGATAGTATTTTTCAACATAACACATCTCCGAGTTGTAAACTAAAGAACCATAATGAAAACAAAAGTGCTCTTGGCTTCTTAAAGGCTCGTGGTCGTGTTGGTAAAGTTTTGTACGATGATTTCAAAGAACCCAAACTACGTGAACAAAATTATCCCACAAATGAAGATTGTGGTAGTCAATGGAACGAAAAAGGTAAGCTGCAAGCAAAACGCTCGGATTGGCTCGGAAAGAACACGAAAAGTGGGGAGCGCAGAGCTGGTGTTAAACGAACCGCTTCCATCACTAGTTTAGATGAAATACAGCGAAAGCGTAGCTTAATGTCCTTGAACAAAAGTAGCGAACGTAAATTAAAGCAATCAAGCCTAACGCAAATGGTAGCACTGAAAAACAATGACACACGAAAAGTAAGTACATTTTCTTTCCTGCCAAAAATACAGATTTGCTTCATGTAATTTAATTCTCCTTCAATAGGACAATAATTCTCCTTCACCAAAAGTTGTAGATGATGCACAAAAATTATCATTTTCGCCTACAACACCAATCACTTCCTATACTTCGAAAAAATTGAGTTTTCCAACACTACCTAGCGATACCGACGATATTTTCCACTTTAGCAGTGACGACGATGATGATGATGATCAGAATATGAAATCACTTAAAGATAAAAATACTATGCAACAAAATATTAAAAAATGTAATGATACAACATTTTTGCAACCGTTACGCCACGAAACCGAAAAAACGGAAAGTGTTTTGGTTATAACACCAACAGCACCACCAATAATTTGCTTAGATGAGTCGGATGATAATGAACAACCGACAGATACTAGAATTCCCGACAAAACAACAGACCGAATAGCAAAAAAGGTGAATACTGTTAAACAGGAAAAGTCAAATACAGAGAAACTACCAACGAGCTTAGCTGCGGCGATGATAGCTGAATGGGATGAGGAACCGGAAGATGGAAAACCATATATGAATACTTCAAACTCAAATGCCCAATACGCCACACCGACGACAGACATAAAACCACGCATTTCACAATTACCTGGTGCGAAAATTTCCATCAAAGAATGCTTTAACTTCGACTGTGATGATTGTCAAAAAGTAATTATTAAAAATAATTTTCAACATTTTTGAAAATAATCCATAAGTACATATTTTTTTTTTTTTTGCAGTATATCGACTTTATGGGCAGCAATATGAGTATAGCTGAAATCGAGGCGCATTTGCATCGCTGTACGCGCCATCGCGCACCGAAGGATTGCATACCAGTGACCCCACCAGATTACTGGAATCCGTTGATGCCATCGTTTTCCGAAAGTGATCCACGTAACAAAACACTGCTAGAGGATCCGTGTCTGCAACGGAAACGTGGTAGCAAACAATCATAGTTGGGAAATAATAACTCGATGTAGTCTTAATTTAAGTTTTTTTTTATTATTGTAATGGCTTAGAATAAATGCTTTACTAAATTTGTATTTATTTACATTTTTTATATTTATATTTGTCCATTTATGTTCTGCACATTATTGAATACTACAAGTTTCCCCTTTTAGCCTGCTCTATTTCAATGGCTGTGAAGAGAGATTTAAAGTTGCCGGCACCGAAACCCTTGAGAACAGAACAGAATAGAAAATGTTACATTAATATTGGATTTATAAAATAATATAAATTATTAGAAATGATGTGTTTTATAATAAGATAAAGTAATTTGATGTATGTATGTAGATCAAAGCCCATAAATACTTTAATACTCACATTATGATTATGACGCTGAATAACTTCAATGAATAATGTCGGTCTATCTTGTAGATTTTTTGTGAAAATTTGCAATAAATAACCATTCTCATCATAATCTATTAGAATATTTAATTCCTTCAACAACTGCATATCCTCTTTAATCTTCGTACGACTGCTCTTTAAGTTCTCCTCCAAAATGTCATAATACGAACTGGGTATGGTGAGGAATTCCAAGCCACGCGCACGCAAATTACGTACAGCCGTAATAATATCGCTGGAATTGAGCGCAATATGCTGCACCCCAGCACCGCCATAATACTCCACATACTCTTGGATTTGGGATTTTTTCTTACCCTTTGCCGGCTCATTAATGGGCATTTTAACATTTTCCTCATAATTAGCCATTACAATGGAACGCAACGCCGAGTAGTCGGTGTGTATTTGAGAATCATCTACTGACCAAAAACGATGAAACTGCAATACGCGCTCATACCAGGCTGCCACACTTTCCATTTGCAAGTCCGGCTGATTGCCCACAACATGATCGATAAAGTCGAGTTTTGTGGGTGGGAGACCTTTAAGGAGATTGTCTGGTGCTGGTGTTATGAAACCGGGCAAGAATTTACCATTGTATTTGGTGCGATCGACAAAGGTGTGTGTTGTATCACCGTACTATGAATATAATTAAAATTTATTTTTATTAAATATTTTAAAAATTTAATTACTAAAATTTATTATTATTAAATATTTCAGAAATTTTATTACTAAAATTCATTATTATTAAATATTTTTAAAACTTAATTACTAAAATTTATTATTATTAAACATATATAAAATTTAATTATTAAAGTAAAAAAGTAAAGTGTAGTTTACTCGAAATTTGCATATCGCTTGACGTCTCAATTTTTGTTTGCATATTTTTGAGCTTCTGATCAATTTGCACAACAAAAAAAGTTCAATACTTTCGTCAAAGATCTTGAATTTTTGAAATATTTTTGCCCCGAATACCATTTTAAAATAGTAATGGAAAATGGTTTGGAGAAAAAAATAAGTATGATAATAGAATTTTTGATTAAAACACACAAAAGAGCTTTAAGCTTTTATTTTTTCAAGACAAGCTGGACTAATTCTTGCAGTCATATGTATCTTCTGCGAAATAAAACACACTCAACCACCCCCACACTTACCGTCTTAATAGTGGCGAATCGTACAACGCCATAATCATCTTTCTCCTCCCAAATCTCACGCACCACCTCAGCGCCGCGTTCTTTTGCATATTTAAAAATCGCTTCCAAATCTTCTACTTCAAAAGCAACATCCTTAACGCCATCACCGTGCTTTACCAAATGTTCACCATGCTCAGCATCATCGGGATTGTATGCTGACACGAAAACGAAAATAATACGATTTTGTTTAACTGCATGTTTTGCCAGACGACGATGTCCGGTTTCTAGGCCCCTATAGCCGACGTGGGTAAAGCCGAAACGTGTTGTATAGAAACTGGCTGCCTGTTTGGCGTTGCCCACATAGAAGGTCAAGTGATCGAAACTGAGAAATTTGCCGAATTTTGGCTGAAGAAAATAATAAAATTATACTTTTATCATATGTATAAGCTTAGTTAAAAGTACTTACCTTCGGTCCCTTATCGGTGTATGAGGTCTGAAAGATAAAGATAATAAAGTTTTTGATTAAAATTATTTCAACTGACGTACTTTAATTTAGTTTAAGACTTAAGCAGAAATTATTTGCTCAACAAACAATAATTTTCAAATGCGAATTTCCTATGAAATGGGAAAATTTTGAGGTTATAACACATAAAACACCAATTTAGACCAAATGCGTTCATACCGAATCCGCTCAAAAACTTTAAGATCGGCTGCTATCTACATTGTCCGCCTCAAAACCTGAACAATCTGATCTGAAGTCATCTTTAAATGTTAGTTTTAATGAGCGCATTAGTTCCCCGAGTGAGGCCTATGGGTCTGCTGGTGCAAGAGGACAATACTTAATATCTCCTATCATCGAGCCTAGGTTTCCACGTCACTATTGATGATCACAACTTTAAAGTTTTAGTCAATTTCATTTCTACAGAGACCAGCAATAATAAAGTATCTCTCTTGTCGAACAAAGATTAAGCTCTGAAAGTCGCTATTCACTCCCGTCTCACTTTATAGTTACTCCACACATTGTAGCGAGTTACATTTACAGAAGGTTTTAATACCGGAGCAAACTTTTGTAGAACCCAGAGAGGTAATCTAGTGACGGATCCCTAGAGTATACTGAATTTATGAAGGGAACATTTCTCCAGTCTGCTGAATGGCAGTGAAAATTTTTCTTAGAGATCGGTCGTAAATATATCCCGGGGCGGAAAAAGTCCTAGTATTTTCGGCTGAGCTCCTCTTCCAATTTGTGGTGTGTGTCTTAACATTCTTCCAACACAACGGAGGGAGTTTAGTTGATTCTAAGCCGCCTCCGAACGGTCGAAGAATTTTTATGAGAAGCTTTTTTTTATTTCATGTCAAAAATATAATAACATATAAGACATTTTCTTTAGCCCCTTGATCGTAATTAGGAAAATTAATTTTGGATGTTGGTTGGACCAATTATCCGGTTGGCAAAGTCAGTATAGATTCATATATCCAACTATCAACGATTTCTTTCTCTACATATTCACACAAATTTTATGTATCTGAAACGTTATTTAAATTTTTTATTTACTTAAAACTTTCACCAAATTTGACCGACTACCGAGTTTCTCCTTGAAGTAGATATAAATAAGGCCATAGGCGTTTTTTTACAAAGAAAAAGACATTTTCAACTTTAATTTTTTCAGTATTTATTTTGTTATTTTAATTGCTTATTGAGTATATTTGCCAAAAATTATAAATTTTTCACATACCATTGTCACTTAAATATATTTTTTTATTAATTCGTACAATATTTATACAAATTGCAACGGTTTTCACCCAATAATTATCACAAATTTATGATTACAAAACGAAAAAACTTATCGTAGCACTTTTTAAGTAAATAGTTTTTTTTTCTAACAAGAATACCTCTAATCTAGCACGCCTCTTCAACAACTACAGCAATCTTCGAAAACCTAAACGGTTTATATAGCAATCATGGTAAATATTTTAATCCTGAGTCCACCACTACCATTGCATACACGTATGCTCTGTTGTATTGGTGTATAATATCAGTTAACTAAAGTCAAGTTGCAAAAATTCGCATTAATAACACACGTTTGTTTGTGTATGTGTGATATCCACGTGCAAATACATATATACCTACCTTTACATATATGTACACGTACTAGTACATCTGCATGCCTGCGATTGCGAGTTGTTGAGTTTGAAATCTAATTTAAATATTTCAAACGAGTATATTGTTTATCCGGTCTTGACAACTAACCGTTGTTGGCTGATGTTTCATATTCTAGAGTTGTTTTTGTTTTTAAGTTAATAAAATAAAGTTTATTGCTGTTGTTGTTTAAATAAAATATTTTATTTTGCATGAACTATATGAGATGTAACGACGAGTAAAATAAATGGAGCGTTTGAGAGCCAATATCAACGGGGAGCTGAGTAATAAAATAAAATTAAATTAAATGATAAATGAAACAAATTATATAAAAATGAAAATAAAAATATAAAATAAAATGAAATGAAATAAAAAATTAATAAAATAATAAATAAAAAGAGAAATGAAATTTTTCAAATTGAAATAAAATCAAATGAAGTAAAACTGAAATAAAAAATAAAATAAAATAAAACAAAATAAAATAAAATTAAATAAAATACAATAAAATAAAAAAAAATAAAATAAAATATAATAAAATAAAAAAAAAAATAAAATAAAATAAAAAAAAAATAAAATAAAATAAAATAAAATAAAATAAAATAAAATAAAATAAAATAAAATAAAATAAAATAAAATAAAATAAAATAAAATAAAATAAAATAAAAAGACTAAAACAAATATTAGATTCATTAAAAAAAATAATTAAATTAAATAACATAAAATAAATTACAGTAAATAGCATGAAATAAATTAAAATAAATAATAAAATAAAAATAAAATGAAAAAATAAAATAATATAAAATTACATAAAAGAAAGTAAAATAAAATAAAAATTATATTTATTGTAAAAAAAAAATAAATAAATAAATTTAATAAAATAAAATAATATAATATATAATTAAATCAAAAATAAATTAAAAGCAAAATAATTATATATAATTTAGTACCTAATCGAAGTTTGAAAAACCGTAATAATGCGCTCAGAAACTATTTTGGAATTTGGTATTTAAAAAAAAGAAAGAAATAGATAATTCAGTCATCGTTTCTTAGGTCTTTCATTATATACCTGGGCAGCTAATCCTGCAATTTGTGGGTTTTGCGCCTTTTTGTTTTTCCAACAAATGGAGAGATCTAAAATTTATTCTAAGCGGGCTCCGAACAGTCGATGGATTTTTATAATAAGTTTTTTTCATGTCAAAAACACACGTGGAGGGCTTGATTATTAATTACCAAATAACTAGAAAAGTATTATATTTTTCGGACCACCTTCAAATTTTTCATAGAATATTTTTAAACAAAACATCTTATTTATGTTTTGGAATTGTGACCAAGTCGCTTAAAAGTCATCTTCAAAAAAATATCTATTTTTTTCTACATAACCTTAGTTCATACAATATATTCGTTCATTTAGAAAGGAAACCGATAATTTTGAGTTTAGACCTTTAACTGCGAATTTTCGTCAGTGACGCCTTCTGTAGGAATCCAGCCATATATTTTTAATTAATTCTACAAAACAAAAAAAAAAATACTTGTAAATATATGCATAACATTTGAAACAAATAATATTTACATAGCCGTAGTATGTAGTCCATATAAACCATACACCTGGTTACTAATACAATTTACATATGTTTTATGAAAACGCTAAACAAATATATCTGTTTACTGTGCACGCAGCCATCCACTATAAGCGCATGCTCAACTTGCCCTCTGTCACACGCCACCGGTCGATACCTTTTTCGAAATAAAAAATAATAAAAAAACAACTTTAAGCCCGTTGAAGAAAAAATTTCTTTTCATATTTAACTAACACCTGTTTTGCGACGCCACCATTACCGCAGACTTGTTGTATGGAAAGCGCAGGCGGGTGGGCTGGAGTGCGAGGTGTCGAGCCCCCAAAAACAAGATTTCTATTGGCCAGTAGCTGTTACATAGCCGGCAACGGAACAGCCTGAAGTGTGCTGTGACGTATATGTATTAGTGTATGGCCATGGCCGTCATTGTATTTCGCAATACACACCAATGCATAGATATACATACATAAATACATAGGAGTACATATTGTACATATGTAAATATATACATAAGTGATATACTCGCATGTAGATCGAGCAAAAATATCTTTTATAATGAGATGCAGATATAAAAAAAAAGTTGTCGATTCGTTGTTGCTATTGAACAAATGAAAAATATTTTTAAGAAACAGAAATGACAATATATGTTTGTTATTGAAATTGTTGTTTTCATTTAGAATTGCGCGAAACTGGAAATTTACTTCACATATTTGTATTTGTATTAATCGGGAATGCATAAACTGGTAAGAATGATAAGCAGTATTTTGATTCAATCAGTAAAAAAATATTCATATATACTTTCATTTGTACATACATACATATGTATAAGGGCAAATTAATATTTTTTTGTTTTATTTTTATTCTATATTATTTTAATTTACATTTTTATTTACTTAACTTTGTTTTTATTTCTCTTTTTATTTATAATAATTTATTTTATTTTATGTTATTTAATATTATTTTATTTAAAATTGTTTATTTTATTATATATAATTTTATTTTAATCTCTTATTTTATTTTATTAAACTTTTTCAATTGAATTTAGTTTTATTTTATTATTTATTATTTTATGTTACTTTATTGAATTTTATTTGGTATAATATAATTTTGTTTTATTTTACTTAATATATCATTTTTAAATTCAATTTAATTTTATTTTGTGTTATCTGATTTCTTTTAATTTTTTTGCGTTCTCTTTATTTATATTTACTTGTTTTGTTTTATTTTATTTAATTCTTAATTTTATTTGTAAATTTGTTTTCTTTTATTTAATGTTATTCTTACTTAATTTTTTCTAAATTAATTTCATTCTGTTTTAGATAATTCTTTTTTCACATTATTTAATTTTAATTTAATTTTTTATAACAGTTGTTTATTTGCTGTTTTAATTATTTTGACTGTTTTATCTTTATTTAATTAAATTTATATTATTTTATTTTATTTTGGGTTATTTTATTTTTTTCGATTTATTTTATTTTAATTTCTTTTTTTGTTTAATTTTTATTTTATTTTATTCTATTCTAATATATTTTATTTTATCTTATTTTATTTTGTTTGGTTTCTTATTTTTTATTTTTTATTTTTTATTTTTTATTTTGTTTGGTTTCTTATTTTTTATTTTTTATTTTATTTTATTTTATTTTATTTTGTTTTATTTTATTTTATTTTATTTTACTTGATGTTATTTTTATTTTAGGTGACACACAAGCTCTCAAACTTTTTTGTCGTCTCTGCCAAATTTTCACGTACGAAGTTCATGAGTGTTCCTAATATTAATAAATATGTATAAATATATTTACATAAAAAAGTAGATATGAAGGCCGTCAAGCACGAGCAAATTTCAAGAAACAAAATTTCAATACTGAGATTTATAAAAATTATCCCGCTTATGCGGTTAAGATGCCTATTGACCGCATTGGCTACTAGCCAAAAAATAAAAAAAGCGCTCAGTATAAACCAAAGATAAACAAACAGCCGATGACGTGTAAGGGCCACTTATTTTTTAGCTCAAGAAATATGAACTAATAAGCGTTTGACATATGGATTTGAACACCAACAATGTGCTTAAGCAATTTAGTCAATTTCTTTCTATACAACCATACACACATACAATCGCACAAGCGTACTGATGTATGTATGCATCTTCCCATCAATGACTGACACTACATAATTTGAGCCAATTTGTCTTTTTTTACTTGACTCGCTTTCAATGTGTGGATACAAATTTGTTCGTCTGCTGTCTCGCATAATGAAAGGGCTGCTGACAGCTGTATGAGCGTTAATACATATGTACATTCATATGTATTTTGTGTGAATTTATTTATTTTTTATGAGCAACTTAATTTGTCAGCCGCTTATTACGCGGCTGAAATGAAATTATGTTTAATGTACCGTTTGACGGTTTTAATGCAAGAAATTTTAACGGTAAATGTTTTCAATTTTTAATGTAATAAATTTTGTAAGTATAAATGTGTAGGAAAAATATATGCAAATCAGTGTTTAATTTACAAGTGAGAAATATATTCGGTTATTTCGTAAATGAAAAGTGTGTTTTTAAGAGAATCTACATACATATTTGTATATATGCATGTTATAGGTATGAAAAAGAATAATTTGTTAAAATTTTGTAAGCTCATTATAATTCAATCTAATAAAAGAATCTTCCTAAAACAGTATTAAATAGTATGTGCGCCGAAATGTCGCTTTACTTCCACATTTACATATATTTATATATTCACATAAAGATTGCGCACACATTGACCGGTAGCTGACCGTTTGATTGATCTCGCTCCATTCCATCCATTAAATTAATACGCATGGAGTAACAGTCAATATTCTACCAGACTGTAAATAAACCAAGAATGAGTTATCAAAAAAGAGAATTTTTCGTATAGAATAAGCGCATGCGTATTTTGTAGCATATAAAAAGGCGCTCAGTGTTGTCATGACAACCTTAAAGGGTGTTGTGTTTGCATATTTACCCTTCAAAAAGAGGTTTCCGTGAAACGCATGAAATGTTTGAGATTTTATTCACTTTTAAAGCATGAGTGTTAATGATCCTAAATGTATGCAACGATTTTTACCTTAACCACAATCACGCCAAACTTCCTCTAGGGGTGACAGTGAATGCATGCATAGAATTATTTGTGCAAACGCTCTTTCCAATAAGCATTCAATGCAAAGCATATACTTATAT